TTTGCTTTTTTTTGAGAGCGGCTTTTGGTTTTGCGGGCGAATGATTTTCACTCCTCCGTGATTAGCGGTTGACGCAACGGTTGGCGAAGGAATTGTGGCTCGAGGAATAGCAAAGGTAGGACATAAAGTGCGCCAACTGAGTGCCGGTCGTCTCCGTTGAACATCGCAGTGCTGACGATGAGAAGACTGAGTGACTGCATGCTTTCGAAACGTAAGTTTCTTTACCTGCAGGGGTAAAGAAACTTCGCAAATAAATACAGTTCGCGGAAAGCCCGTGTTACGTTTTTATTTCCTGCTCCTCTCGCTTCGTGCAATAGACTTAGTGTTCTCGTTAAGCCTTACCGAGCTCGATTTGCTCGATTCGTGGCCGCCATAATGAGATGCAGTCGACGGAGGAACTTTTCCTCCCCTGCTTAAGGGACGAAAGTTTCTCCCTTTCTGAAGGAACATATGTGTCAAGAGCGTTCCTCCCTTTCGGGAGGACTATACTGACCCTTTTTTCTAAGAGTGTGGCAATCACACGGTTGGGTTTCAAATTGGGTAGCAATTAGCTGACAAACCAAGCTTAAAAACACTTCCCATCTATTTTTTGTTGCTAGTCGCCAGAGCCCTTCTTAGCGCAGAAGACTTAATCGGCACCGTTGATGAATCCGTCTTCACTGCCAGCGTGCACGGTGATAAGATTCTTGCAAGACGAATTATCGACCCCGGCTGTGAGTTCTTTCACGGATGCATCCCGTGCAGATTGCAAAGTCGTGCCCACAGCCATACATTTCCGTTTACATGGCCAGCGTTGAGCCATGTCTCGTCAAGGTTAGAGATGGCTGGTCCCGATTGTTTTTTATTCTTGGATATCATGGAATACCTCGCTCGCCAAGCAATCAAGTTGACACGTTTCAATATCACTGACTGTCTGATGCATCGAACATACCGGAATCCAAGATTCTGTAGGGCTCTTTAGATAGACGAACGGCTGAGGTCGCCCAGCCCAGGTTCCTTCACATCTACCAGCAACTGCGTATACGAAAACAAAGAAAACATGTTTAATTATTTTGAATTTTATAACGGCAAAGTTTGCAGACGTTTGGTATCAGGCGTTACTACTATTTCTTGTAAATTGGACTTATTATGTTTGAATGTTGGGACATATCACGCTGAGCAAGGTAAACCGTATAAAAAAGGCCTTGTTCCGAAGAGTATTGAAGACGCGTTGCTGTACATGGGATTCTGACAATCAAATTGCCTTTCTGAACCTTACATCGGGTTTTCTGGGAGCTCATATTTTCAAAATCGGCGCATGTCAATAAAATATGGCGTTTAAATTACTGCGACGTCGCGGCGATACTGGACTCGTAATTAACATTCCTTGCACATAATAGGGCACTCGTTCCGTCGGAAGTACTCGTGCACTAGCTTCCTCAGCGCTTAGAGGTGGAAGAATCGAGCAGGGACCATGCTGGCTGAGGTTTCCTCTTCCGAACGCGCTTCGGGTACGCCAATGACAGCACACCTTCTGATGACACGGTCAACTCGTTCTTCCACCGGCGCACTGCCGTCTTTGAAATGTCTGTTAGCGTCGAGGTTCTCTCAAGCAATTCGTCGTACGACGCTTTTGGGGATACTCGACGCAGCTCCGAATACACATTCAAGACGATCTTTCAGGCTTGTCTGCCGAGGACAGCATTCTCCAACAATGCCCAGAAGTGATGAGGTGAATTTTTCGCTTAGAGCAGCCATTTCTCATGTGCGAACCGGTTGAGCGAAGCAAAGATGTAACGGCGTCAACGACCACGGCGCTTCAAGAAGAAGAAAAAATCCGGGAGCGGATACGAATATACTATCACTTTTTTATTAAAAAATAATTGAAACTCGTAAATGCATAAATATTTATTTCTTACTTTTACTATTTTCTGGATAGAGATGGAGAGAGAGAGAGAAAGAGAGAGAATAAATGAAGGCCGTGTTGGTTGGCAACCTTAAAAACGGCACCGTCTACTTAATAACTTGAACATGAAGAGACAGAATTACGATGGCATACGAGGGGGAGAAGCAATGATAAAGAAAAGTGACGAGAAAGGGGAGGACCACAAATGCTACACTGTCACAGCAGCCAGGCACGTAGCCAGGAGGTAGTCCCATGGGCCCCCCCCCCCCCCCCCCCGAAATCTTCCATTTTGCTGGGACCTCCTCTCCCCCTTTCCCCTCATACAGCATTTTGTCATGGGCGGGCCTTCCCCAAAACAAAATCCTGGCTACGTGCCTGACAGCAGCACAAGCACGAAGCGGAAGACTATATAGCGTCGGAAATCTTTTGCTAAAAAGTACCCCATAAAACAGGTAAAGTAGCAAAATTACTCTTCAGCACTGTTAAACTGTTTTGTTGATCATCTGTTGCGAAGATGCAGATAATTTCTTTTACTTATACTGAACACTGGGGCATTCACTCACTCGTGCACGTGTTCACGAACACACACAATCAAGGGTCTTAGCGCCTAATAGTTGTGTAAGAGACCACTGCCTTTTAAAAAGTCGCAAATGATGTTAAAGGCTCTTTGATAGTGGGGGACGTCTGTCCAGTAGTTGAAGACGTACCTTCATTCTTTTCCATTCTGTGACAAAACGTTGGCAGTCTAGGAGAATGTGATTATCTTCAAAGGGATCACCGCATTGATATGTCGGAGACTCATGTTGCCGAACTCGGTGCAAAAAGCTGCCTGTGAAAGCCACTTCAAGTCGTCGTCGGTGTAAAGGAGCATAGATCGTATTTATTTTATTTGTTCCGGTACAAAATACAACTTATAATTTGAGTCAATATGAGGTAGGAGGACTTCGAGAAAGTTTTCAGCAACCATTGCTGCCGGGAGCACTCCTCTCGGAAGTGCCGTAGTAGAGGCTTGGCATGCGCAGGTCAGTTCCATAGTGTCGCTAGAATAGGCTTCAGCAGCCAAACAATGCGCTTCGATGTTTCCGGTAATGTCGCGATGATCCGGAGTTCAATGGAGGCATATTGCATGTCCAAATCTTTCTACATGAACTAATGTTGTTCGAACTTCTTATAGAAGTGGTCCCAAGAAGGACCTCATCGCTGTACCTTTAGTAGTTCAAATTCGTTTTTAGAATAGATCATTATGACCTAGGCTGCTGACTGATTGAAGTTGACAGTAAATGTGACGGCTGAAAATGTCGCATGCTACACAGCCACTACTGAACATGTATGGTGTGAGCCGAAAAGCTTTGCTTACACTAAACTTTGGAATGGTTAAAACAGATGTTAAAAAATGTTTTGAAGTCGATCTGCCTCTATAAACATGAACAGTATTATTGACGCATTCTTCTACATAATTCAGGACAGTGCTTTCACCAGAGAAGAGCTGACATCGTTTGGATTCAACGTCTCAAACATCTTTTTGTATGTTCAGTGTCCCAATGAACATGATATGGTTGACAAATTGGGAATGCAATTAGAACCTTGAAAAAGTGACATTCATTGCACATTTGCAGAACCTCTTGACATAATGGACGACCGTCCTCATGTGTGGCTAAACGAAGGTGATGCCGACATGTCTCGTGAGCACGAATGGCGGACACGGGGGATTCTCAGGCCTCCGCAAAGACAAGGTCCGAAGAAGTTGCTTGAGGAGCACCTCGAGAAACTTCTTCGAACATGTGCCCAGACTTTGCTCAAGCATATATTTCAAGCGTTTTTCAGATTTTCGTACAATTCTATGCAGGACTGGTTTTGAATATGCGATCGTTCGTCGCACGAGAGCTGCATGGAGATGCAGAAAGCCATCCCATACAATTTTAATTTTTTTCTTTGAATATTGAATTACTAATAGCAAGCTTTTTAGGCAATCACACTTTTGTGAATTCTAGTAAAACTTATGTTTTTGTAGTCCCTACAAACATTTGAACTTGGCGACTTTATTGTTCCTACATTATCATCATTGCAGAAACTGTAGCTGCCTAATGTTAGAGTGTGTCCAAACAACAAAATATTTATAAATTCCTTTGGATATAAATCTTTTATGGAATGATCATGTTAAATATTTAATCAAATGGAAGCGTGCCGTCTCTGCTTCATTATATAGGATGCGGAGTGTAGCAAGTATGGTCTCTGAGAAAATTAATGTATACCGCACTGGGTGAATCTATCCTTCGTTATGGTACTTCGTTATACGGAACGTGTTCCACCAATAAAACGCAAAAAAAAAAATCGACAAGCTTTTATGCAAAATGACATGTAGCATCATATATGGTACAATGAAAAGGAAGCAAAGAAAGAGGAGAAAATGAATGTAGCGACAGTCTTAACTACTGAATAGTTGTATACTGCTATGTCATGAGAGATATCTGCAGATCACAGCGTGAGATCAAGGTAAGTGGAAAAACTGACCCCTTTTAGGTATTTTGGGGAGCCATCATTAAGGATGCTTATGTCTTTGTGTCCAATAAAATTTTCAGTCTGTTTCCCTCTCTTTTCACAATGAGAACTGCCGCAAAGTGTGTTGTGTGCGTTAAAATTTCCACACACAATATACGAAGCACAACGAGCTTCAGTTGAGTTAGAGCAGTAAACTGGAACCCACGGCCTGTAGTGGAAGGAACAAAGCTGCAACAATTTTATGATGAAATATTACTAAGTATAGCTTTGTATGGGTATGCATTACATGCGATGAACTATGCATGATTTTGCCTTAGCCTTTGTGCAACGGTTTTTTGTTAAGTTCGAGCGTAAGGTGTTTCGGATAAAAATCTAACCGTTAAACATTATCTGAGTTAATAAACGGAGACGATGCGCAATAGAGCACAAGGAATTTATTAAACTAACAACCAGACCCCTGCGACCTTTTCGCGTGTGGCCTTTGTTTTAGTGAAACAATATATAAAATTCGGTAAGTTAGCACTTCTTTCAGTTTTGGAGCCTTGTCTCTTGTTCGAGTGTGCAGAATAAAACAGAATTGTGTCTGACGCTTTGCACCCGAATCACTGTGTCGCAGCTGCTGGAGACGGCCGGCTGGCTGATATGCCTGGCTGGAGGTACGTACGTGAACATGGTCACCATCGCCTGGGCGGACGGATCCTTCCCCAGCAACTGGTGGAGCACCCTCTACGCTGCGCTGCATCGGCTGATGTGGGCGGTGTGCCTCGGCTGGGCCGTGTATGCATGCGCCGTGGGAAGAGGGGGTGAGTTTGCCATCATGGCCATCACACCCTAAATAAGAAGGCCGTTGGGCTGAATGTTGAACGTCACTTAAAGGCGGTAAACGCGGGTTTGACACTCTCGTTGGCAATCCATAAAGCTACGAAACGCGTGAACACGTTTCAGAGACATATTCAAAAGTTATTTGCCAACAAACTACTATATTTAAATAAGCATTGCTAACTGCATTTTACGAATATATAAAAAAGACATCCTTAATGATTACTTTAGTTGTGGTATTAATTCAGAAACGCAACTGATTTCTCTCAATGTGGCAAAATGACACATCTCTGCAAAAGAATGCATCTTTTTTTAGGCTTCCCTTAATATTTTACAGAGTGATGGCAAAACAATGAGTACCATTTTATCCTCAAAAGAGAAAAACGACGAGAAACCTTCACTCAAATTGGGCTAGCTGGTCTTCGCGACAAGGGCCTTGCCGCGCGACGTCGGCTCTAAAGAGACGTTTTCGAGAACCGATAAAGGCTGTAGAGCGGTGCTGCTCTAACGTAGGGTCTAGCAAGTCGTGCTGACCCCAGCTTAGCTTTATATGTCTGTTTCAATCCCCCCCCCCCCCCCCCCCAACCCATCTTTGCAGAATGCGTCCGAACTGAGTGTTTTTAGGAGCTTTGTAAAAGGCTGCTCATGCCTTATATCTAGGGTGTGTACTTTCCGGTGTTTATTTGTGAGAAAAATCGGCGGATGTTTTTCGGTGTTTACTTATTTTCAAAACACCGGTGTATTTCGGTGGAACGTCTCACGACGAGGCTAAAATCGGTGAATATCGGTGAAAAAAAGCGATTGATCACATGCACAGAGTTCCAGTTTTATTCACATAGTTCATACACTTCTTCTCTAGGAAGCAACTATTTCTCACACTTGGTTATTATAGTAGATGCAAGCATACTTTCATGCTTGCATCTACACGCAAGGAACGTGCTGCCGTCATGGCAGCACGTTCCTTGCGGTTCGCAACCCGCAATTATGAAAACGCACTCTCCTGTACGACACGGACGATGGCAGTGTCTTCCAGGAACCACAGCAACCTCTGAATACATGGCTTTCACCGACATCACTTGGCCAGACACAACGAGGAAAAGGCACGTGAGAGCCTACCATCCGATGTGTTAATTTTTCCACAAAAGGGGGCCATGGGAGACACAATAGGGCAAAGCCGTATGAGAGCTTAGCTTCCACTGCGTTCACTAGACGCTTTTGACCCCCAGAAAGGAGGGCGGACTGACGCTACCTGCAAGCCATGTATAAGCACTGGAAGAATGCAGGATCCACGAGATAACACGTTTGACGAACCTCTACGGGGAAAGGGTTTCGCTAGGTCGGAAACTAGCAACGACCGGTGTTTTTCGGTTTTAACCAGGGCGAAAATATCCAACCACCGGTGTTTTTCGGTTTTAACCGAGTTTATATTTTCGTCACCGACGGATGTTTATCGGTGTTTTTCGGTTAAAACCGGAAAATACACACCCTACTTATATCTTAATAATCTGGGTAGATTTGATAGTTCTCGATGATGCCTACTGTGCCCCTAATTAAAATAATACCTTGACAGGTAGTAGTTACAAAGTTAATTACTAAAAGTGATTACAATATACTTTTTCCTAACACTAACACTAACACATATTTCAACGCTTACACATACACACATTTCTAACACTGCTTGCTCTCTTTTCCTAAATTTGCCCTTTGGCAGGGACTAATACAATATCAACTTCTTTTCTGTTCGATGTGTGATTTTCCCAGGAACGATTGGGCCCGTGTTTTGTGAAACACCTTGTATACGTATAGGTATATAGCCGAGTGGTTCTCCCAAAGGCATGTCTTTCACATACTACGTAATTCCTCGTTAACTCTAACACGGCTATCTTCAAATAGTGGTTAAGTCGTAAAATTTCCTTGTCACGGAATGAGCTCCCTTAGGCACAATGCATTTTGTCCTTGCTTATCTCGAAAGGTTTTCATCACGGACTTCGGATATCTTGAAATCTCGCCAGCGAAAATCGCAAAAATACACAATAAACAACAAAAAGTGCCCCAAAAAAGCAAAAAAAAAAAAAAGAAAAGCGCGCGGCGCGCAAAAAGAGAAAACAAAAAACGCGCATGCGCCAAAAAAAAAAAAAAAAACGCGAAAGCGCGAGAAAACAATTAAAAAATAATAACCGCGGGTGCGGTGTACGGAGACGCGGAGAAATGTGCGACTCAAAAAGGAAATTTTATATTATTTTTTTTTTTGTTTTGTTTTTACGATTTCCATTTGGACAAGCAAAACGCTCGCAAGCCGGCCTGGCGTTCGGTGCCCCCTTTCCTTTGAGCGTTTCGTTCCGCTCTGTCTTTCGTTTTCTCTTTGCTACTGGGTTCTTCCATTTCCCTTCCCGGTCCGGTCGTCGGTCGTCGTGAGTCTCGTGTTTCCCAGAGGTGTCTCTTTCGAGTGTTGCTGCTCTTTGTTGCTTGTCCGTCATTTTTTTAGGTGTTTCGATCGTCTTGCGGTGCCACACGAGCAAGGGTGAAGGGGTCAATTCGGTCATCGGTTGTGAATTCTCTGCTGTTGTTGGCGCGTGACTCGATTGACTGTGAAGATGGCGAAGCCCAAACAATGCAAATCACTGACCCTTGAGAGTAAATTTGCTCTCATCACAGAAGTTGATGTCGCCGCGATTGTTAGAAATTTTATTTAGAACATCGCGCGATCAGAGGTAAAAAAAAAAAAAAAGTTCTGGTACTTTGCTTATCTCGAAATTTCGTTTATCTCGAATTTTTTCAGTTTTTATGGCTTCGAGTTACACAGATATATACTAAATATGAGTCGGTCTATCATTGTACGAACGGACATGGAAACAGACAACAACAAAACCCATGTAGTTATCGACTTCGATCTGTATTCCATCGTACAATAAGCACGGATTCTTAGAAATGGTAAGCTGGTTTATTTGCCATCACATAGTGTTGAACAGCAAAATACCGACTTTCCAGACACTAGTTCATGGCCTTGTTTTCGTGGTGACAGACCTTCCTCGTGTCTTCGTGTGCTGGCTTTGGGTTTCACGGTAATGGGATGTGCAAACCGTCCTCAACTATCGGCAACAGTGGTGTCCGCCAAGAGTCCTTCGTAGGCGAAAGGCCGAGAGATGGAGGGGGGGGGGGGAGTGTTAGGCGGTAACGAAACAAAACGCATATATAACACTCAGCTAGATACTGCTCGACTTTCTACGCACTACGATAAAGCAGCACCGCTGTACAGCCTTTGCCGGTTCTATCCTCTCCCTTTGGAGTCGATGTCGTGCGGCAAAGCACATTTGAGTGAAGGTTTGTTGTCGTCTTTCTCTTTTGGAGGTCATACGGTACTGAATGTTCTGACATCACAGTTACTTCAAGACACTACAGAAGATGAAGGAGAGATAAAAAAGATAGTTTTTCTTTTCAATTTTGACGTGCAATATTGCAACGTTTAGAAAAAATAGGTGCCTTTCCGAATTAAAACACAGCCACCGTAATGGCTATGCCTACCTTTTTTATATATTCGTAAAATAGATTATTATTTTTATACATTTCGTGCCATTTTATTTGAAGTAGTTTGTTGGTAAATAATTTGTGAATGTTGATCTAGAGCGTGTTTACTTGACGTGTTTCATAGCTTTGTTTCGACAAAAATGTTTCAGTGTAATTTGTAATATCTTGTGTACATGTTGTAAACCTTTCGTAAAATGGGAAGTAACAATTACTATTGCATGCTTCGGTGTGAAATTGACGGCTGTGCAAAATGCCAAGTGAAACAGTGGCAATCTCCATTCCTCGAGCTTTGAAATTTCATATGAAAAAAAAATTACCTACAACGTTCACATATAGCTCTATGCTCCCCCCATAACATGGCTTTCGCGTATGTTTTTTACACAAATATAATAATAAAAATATTACCAGGAACATCATTGCACGACTGACGTTGTGACACCATAATCGCAATGCGCAATGCAATTTAGCAACAGCCGCACTGCCCTGGCCAAATTGTCCCTTTATCGCGGAGACAACAAATGGCGTTTTAAATCATAACAAATTAATGACATACTGAAGTCTAAATATCCGTCTAAAAAGATTCCCACTACGAATCGGTAGTTTAAATGTTTTCACTCCAATGGGACTCAAATTATTTGCATTTATTACGCTGTTTTACTTCCTTTAACCTGTAAGTTCGGGGGCGCAGCCGTTGCTACGGGCAGATGGGGCAATCAAGCAGTGGCAAAAACGCAAGGTAACGTCACAAGTAATCTTTCTGCGCTCGTACGATCATTAGATAAACCGGTTCAAGCGCAGTGAATGTACTGGGGTGTTACATTTTTAGTACATGTATGCCCATGTTTGGATGTGTTTTATGCTTTCGGTCCGTGCTGGGACTTATGATGAAACAGAGTATACGTAGTGACTTAATACAATTTAACCTCACAGGCAGTCATTAAACATATTATCATAAACATGCCCAGTATCACAAATACGCCATGCTTAAGAGCAGGCACTTTGAGAAACGCTGTTTTCAGCGCCACATCATAAATTTTAGTGTTGTTTCGTCACCGTTGTATTTGGGCGCCAGCCATTATATTATTTTGCTATTTTGACCGCACTGAATCATCGCGGTCATTTTTAGCACCCACTGCTTTGTAGCATTTCCCATTAGCAACATTTAATGAAACAGAATCGATGAAACAGTGTCCAATATAATGGAAAGCGGTAATTTTTATTTTATTAAAAGCGAGCTAAAAATGCTTGGAATCTAGTAGAGCAGCTTCACCCCCAGCTTCCACTTTTCAAAGAGACAATATACCGTCGGTTTTTGGTTGTTTTTTTTTCACTAAGAGTGGCATGAGCAACTCAGCGCTCTGCGATTGGAATGACTGCCCGCACAGCCCTAGTTTCTTACGACGCAGCTTCAGTGAGTAGACGTTGGGTGAAATGTCTGGTCTCAGCACAGCACCCCTTAAATTTTCGCTACAAATTCGTCTATTGTCTTTAACGTTAACCATGCATCTCTCCTTTGAACTAATGCATGCGACCGCACTAATGTGACAGTGCATTGAGTAAATAAAAATCCGCCTTGGTAACGCAACGACATTCAACCAGTGGCTAAATGATTATTGGACCGACAGTCAATGACCGTGCCACGGGATCCAGAGTGTGCCTGCTAAAGTCCCGAAAGATGCATCCCAAAACTTTGTTCATGTCAGTCAGGAGGCGCATTCTGAAATGCTTCGGAAGTAAGTCAACAGGGCATATTCGGCACCTTGGCATGCTGTGTTTTCATTGACGTCACATTGCCCGATTTATGAGGCTTGGGTAAACGTGTCTCAGTGATTCACGCGTTAATCTTTAGACTGCTTTTAGATTTGGTTATACGATGAGCGCGTGAATCACTCAGGTGTGTTCCACTAGAAAAGGAGGGGGAAACGACCCCCCCCCCCCCCCTCTTTTTTCCTCTTTCCAGCAGTAAACCACTTGATGTGACGTTTATGAAAGCACGCCAATCAAAGTTTGCCCCTGCTCACTTACTCCACAAGTTTTCTTGAATACGCCGCCGGGAGGATTCCCATGTGCATCCTGCAAGTTTCCCAAAAAGCGCAGCTGCTGCGAGGGATCATAGGGCAACGGCGGTTTCACGCAAAGGGATTCTTTGCGAACACACGAGTTAGGGTTTTGTGAGCTCGCCTTTACCAGCGTCCGCTACCTCATGTTTCTGGAGGACCGCAACAAAAGAAAATGAAGCGGTGCAATTATTTTTCCGGTAGAAGACAATAAGAAAGTTCTTTAGTTATAATTTCATTAAAAAAGCATTAGGTTAAGGTGTTCTTCAAGATATCTAAAAGTATTGGGCATGCCTGGTTGTAAGTGTTCACTCGGAAGGTTGACGAGTGAGAGACAGTAAAATACGTAAAACGTCTTGCTCGGGATGTTTGGGCCTTATGTCTCTCGGACTATCAAGAGGTCACATACGCGTGAAGGGACTTCTCTAAGGCGCCCCGAGTCGCCTCCTTCAAGGTTATCTTATTTTTACTCTGTTTTTCTTTTGGTGTGATACAAAATACTCAGACAGTCCGAAACAATACCTTTATTTTTTCCACTTATTCTTCTATCAGCCCTTTTCCCATTCATTCTCCTTCAAACTAAATGGTCACATTCGTCGCCAGACGCCAGTATACTGGCCTCTGGCGAACAATCTCATCTATAGTATTTCCTCTTCGCTTGTCCTTTTTCTCTATCCCTATCTCTATTTCTCTTTGAGAAAATATAGCTTGCCCGTGAATATGACGTTGATGAAGGAGTCAACCAGGAATTATTATTGGGAATCCTTAAATCTTGAGAACATTAGGACCAAAGATTCAGAACTTCGAGAAGTGTTATCTTCCTCGACACTCATGTCTTACATTTCACTTTTCTTTTCTTGTTTTTTCTTTTGCAGGAATCCTTAACACCATATTATCTTGGAAGCCTCTGGTTCCCATCAGCCGAATTTCATTCACTATTTATGTCGTTCACATCTACGTACTCTACTTTAAACTCTGGACCATCAGAGAGCGAGTAACTCCCGACACTTTTCATGTTGTAAGTATGCTCTTTCATACCTAGCTTGAATAAGACCGGTATGATAAGTATCAAAGAGGTGCCTCGTGCTGGCCCATGAGGGCGTGCACGTCAAAGCTGTATAGTTCAAAGTGCAAGCGCGAGCTGCTGATGCCGTCGAAGACATGATTTGCTTTAACTCCCCAAAAAAGGGAGTTAAATAAATTGTTTAGCAGGATCTATTGGAGGTAATCACGAGGTGCTGGTTCTTGCTTGGAGTTCCATGCTGAGAACTAGGTTCTATTTATCTTCTAATAAAATAAAAAATCTTGATTGGCAGACGTGCTTGATTGCGCCTGTTCAGTGTGCATTCCACCGAATCAGAAGAGTTATCCTTGGCTGACGCTAGCAAGGGCGTTTGTAAAGTTCATTTTATTATCATAAAAAAAGAAGACATTCGATCACCAGCGTCGGTGGTGAGCTTAGTTCATCTCCATTTATGCATCGCACAATGCGACGCGCTTCCACCGCTTCATGAGCTAGCGGATGCTCTGATTCCAGAAGTTCTTATTTTGGCTACGAGGAAACCTTGAAAATCACATCGTCATCGTCCGGAAATGCTTGCCACCCAGTGGAGTCTTCATGACAGGAAGAAGGCAGAAGTTACTGGTTGCCAGGACAGGAGAATAGGGGGCCTGATGCAACATTTTCTTGTCTAAAGCAGCCGCATGCATGCTTGGTGCGTTGTGGTGGAGCACATGCATTCCGGTATCAGGTTAAGAGTGCAAGCAAACCTCCTCTCACAAAGCATTCCATTCTTTCCACTTTAGCAGAGAAAACGCTGGAGAGGAGGCAAGGAGGAACTCGTCTCCTCTCCAGTGTTCACCTTGCTAAAGTGGAAACGGCGGAGGGCTTGGTGGAAGGAGCTAGCCTTGCACTCTTAACCTGACATTGACTCTAATGAGAGGGTATCGGTGATATTCTCTTGTGGTTGTGTGGCCCTTATAGTGCTGTGTGTAAAGAACACACCACTGCAGTTTTATAAACGCGAATCATCCCCTTCCCCGATGACGACTATCCCTTCAACTTTTTGATTCCTGGTGAGTCTGCGTGTCTCCACCATTCGCCTTATTTCTTCGTCTTGGGGTCGTAATAGCACACAAAACGCTCATCCATGGCGATCCGGTGATCAAAAAAGTCGTCAGAGTCGCCTTGGGGAAGCTGCAACAGTTCCGTTGCAGATTCTTTTCCCTGTTTTTCCGTAGGCGCGAGTGGTCGCGGAACCGGGAGGGCGGGAACTTTCAGTATTTGCAAGTCATTGGACACGTAACTATTAATTGGGCCTTCTAAAAAAAAAATACTTTGAATGTGCCTAGACTAGCGGCATGTAGGTTTGCCCTGCTGGTAAATTTTTGCGATATTATTTTCATTTTTTTTTGCCGCCAATAAAACGAACTTTATGAACATTCCTCAGAAATGGGAGCTAGTCCTGATCATTCGCTGCGAACAACGTTCAACAATGTTGAGCCCCGTAAATACCCTTTCTGTATCACTTCGGGCGCGCACTTGAAATCATGCTTTTGTGACGGAGCAAGTTTCAAATACCACTATTTTGTTGCAGTAAACAGAGTTCGCCAAAACTTTCTTGTCACATCGTTCACCCCATTCTAGTCAATAAATATATAAATACACTAAATGTATCACCAGAATCGAGATATTCTAGAAATCAAGCGCACCGGGATAGGGCGTCACATAGGACCAGTTGTTGCTTAAAAAAACGTATTGTTTGTCAATGCCAGGGATGGGCAAAATACATGCAAATATGTATCGAAATACAAATACAAAATACTTCGTGAAAATGTATTTAATTACAAATCTAATTACATTTTCAAAAAAGCATTTAAGTACAAGATACAAATACAACCAAATGTATTTGGTCTCCTCAGAATGCTTTTCCAAATACATTCCTCAAAATTTGCGTCAGCGACTTCAGGGCCCCTGCAACGGGTTTCTGGGTATCTCATTTTAATTTTGCATCGCACACTCGGGAGTTGGTCTGTGAGGCTCTAGTTACGCAATAGAAATATAATAAAAAAATTGTAATCAGCTTGGACGTAATAGGTGAAAAAGTACAGAACTTCAAGCAGGTTTTTTTGTTGATTACATTTTGGTATAGACCAACAGAGAACCGAGACGACCAAGACGCGCAGCACTAGCTAGAGAATTTTTTATTGTTGCAACTCGCACCAGTTTCGAAAATCTGGACGACCCGCGCATTTAGAATGTTTCAGGCAAAAATATGGATGGAAATCAGGCTGAAAAGCATCACAAGTTGTCACCGGCATTTATTTAGTCAGTCTCCCTGTGAACGTCGATTTCGTCACTATTCTTGCCCTGGACTAGCACCGTAATCACAAAGCCACTAAACGCTTGTGCTTGATTGAGACACACTGCATTCCGGTGCGGAACATAGTTTTCTTCCTGCTCTAAACAGTGACAATAAATTTGAGGGATGTATTTTGGCCCAGAAAATTATATTTAATTACAATTGTATTATTGTATTTGAAATACCCACGTTTTAGTATTTAAATACACATGTCAAATACATTACCCAATTTGTAATTAAATACCAATGCAAAATACACAAAGTATTTGAAATACGTATTTCAAATACTGCCCATCCCTGGTCAATGGCAATACCTGAGGCGGGATCCGAATGAAATAATCCCAATCAAAATTTTCCGTGATAAAAAAAAAAGTTGAAACTGAAGTTTGCAGCTTGGTTTGCTTGCTCCTCGCGGGTATCTCCATGCAAAACTTACAGCACAGGAAATGCTTTGCAAAATACTTATGCTGCAAAGGGCCCGCTTGTTTAACGCTGAAAACATACTCCAAGGTAAGCAACATGAACCGCCCCTTTCTTTCTTACACGGTGCGCTAGTCTGTCGAGAGGCTGCAGAAACAATCTGTAACGTTAAATCGAGCTCACGCGAATTCACAAAGAGAAGGCGGTAACTTCTATTTTCGCATATTGCATCGTAGTAACATGAAGAGGCACTCATTAGACGATTTGCTTTATGTATTGCCTAATTTTCAGTGAATACGAAACAAAATTAGAATCCTTTCTTGCACTGAGAGCCCACTTTTATCAATTGTCATGTCCCATTACGCACCTAGTTAATATCAATAATCCACTATATTGACGACATTTTCGGGGCGATCTGGGTAAATACATGCGTGTTTTTCTCGTTAATATAGACAACTAACATTACGGACGCTTTCTTTATTTTTATTTTTTTTGTGTGTGTGACAAAGGTATTCGTTTAAACAAGACATCGTTGTGCCGCGCGTTTAAACAATAAAATGAATGTTGACATTTTTCACGATACTAGCTTGTTGTGTACGAAATTATCAAGTTCAACAGATAGTCCTTCTGAGGCACATTCCGACATAGTAGCGTACTTCGATAATCACATGAACGCTTCCGAACCAACGTGAGTGAATAGTTTCGCCAACTGGCGCCAAGCACACGCCCGCGGTGAAAAACGCGCTATCGCGTGCTTGTGTTCGTGTGACTACGATTGCAGAAATATAGACAGCTACTTAAAGCATAACTGAAGTAACTTGTTTTGTAAGTAGGTAGCACGAGCATTTCACTGTTCGTGCTGCTTTTTGTTCGTTCAGGTTGCAAAGGAATTCAGCGCCTGCTAATTGTGTGAAATATGTTCTTTTCGCTTTAAATTGCGCGATCGCGGGTGAAATTTTAATACTAGACGAAAAAGATCTTAAAATCAATGCGTACTGTTATCTTATATTTTCTGCAGAGGCGGCCCAAGAAAAGACCAAATTTCGAACTCGAAACATAGCGCTAAATAACTTTGAAGAAAATTGACTTTTGTGATGTTGCTGGTCTCCGATACCACAGGTCACCGCTAGTGGAAATCCGTCGCAGACCTCTGCACTATGGTCGCCTCATAAGAATACGCGTACCATAAAATGCTCGAATATAATAGAAATACGCTGAACGTTTGTTGAAGAGAACTTCAGAATGGAAATTCCCCAAAACCGATGAAAACCATCAAGATGTTGAAAATATCACGTTAGACCCTCTTGCCTTGCTTGGAAATGGGGACATGATGGTTAAATAGTGCTAAGAGTGAGAGATGTGAAGAGCGTGCGTGCTAGAGCTGTACCGTAGTCCAGCGTAAAGTGGGTAGAGTACCGTAATTTCCGCACCCGATATCAGCTGAAAAACGGTGTTTTGCTTAGTACTCAATAGCTAGCTGCTTACCTCATCTATGTCTTACTCCTATTAAGATAGCAGGCTGTGAGATTTCAAACCAATATGTTATTCTTACTAATAAAAAAAAACGAATGAAAGTTCGTGTTCTTTTATAGTTCCATTTTATTTTATAATATGTAGAGTTTCTTATATATTTAATTCGTACAGTATTTTATTGTTCGTATGCCAAAAAAAATTATGCATGAACGCTTTTTAATTTAAAGATGACCCTGGTTTCTGAAACGTTTCAAAGTCATTTATTTCGTTGTTGTCATGTGCCGCCTGCCAACAAGCACAACCCCGATTGGATGGTGTGCGGGTTAAACCTGCATAGCTCTTCATTCGTCCCAATAAAGATGTTTGTTGCTGTTAAAATATAAGTGACAGCTGATTCTGAGCATGCGCTGTGCGCAACGAACAACAAGAAGGCGTCCCGTGAATGCCGAGGCTTTTCGAGCGCTTATCATCCAGGCGAAACAATGACACTGACTCGTGGACGTATGCGTGGTCTAATATTCCTCAGAAAAGAGGGTATGCCCAGAACAAGCTCGACAGGAAATTCAACAAAGCGCGCAGAAGGCAAATAGTGGGAGCACGCTCAACACTTCCTCCTTCTGTTTTCAGTTCATGTCGGCCATTTCCAGCTTCGTGTTGGCCACCATCCTGGGATTCGTGGCGTCCATCTTCTTCGAAAAGCCCATCGTGTGGCTCTGGGACACCCTGACGCGCAAGGGGAGGAAGCCCCGCGAGGGAGACGACGACAGAGCCAAGTCCTCCTTGTCCACTTCGTCTACCTGCTCCAACCCACACGGCGAAGAAGAAATAAAAAAAGAGCGGCTATGAACTTTCTCGCACTTGGATTTACTTAGCTTTCCTTTTTATTCGCTTTAGATTGTCACCGCAGAATAAAACGGGGCTGCGTTGCTGCTCTGCTACGCTGCAGACTACGCCGAGATGCAATAGCAATTTGACGCTTCTTCTGAGAAGGCGATAGTTTTCTGATTAAATTAAGAAGAACTTTGTTCCCCCACTCTGCCCTCGGTCGTAGCAGATCGAGCACACCTTGCTTCTCTCGTTGTTCCTAGTCAAACGTTTTTTGTTTTTTTTTTTCTTTTCCTGCGTTTGATTGGCACGACGAACATGCTGAGCTTCAGTGTGCCGCCATTTCTGTCCAGCAACGTCCTCTTCAGTGATCTTTTTTATCTTGCGAGGCGTTGTGAGGACGACTGCGTCACTTTCAGCGATCGTCTGACTTCTATCATACAGCAGAGCCAACTGCGAGATGCGCGTCCCCCGAGACAACTGCGTGTCACGCGTCTGATGACACACGTGGAGCAGCCAACAACCGGCGCATGCGCATGAAAAAAAGAGGGGATGCGATAGAGAAAAGGTTAATCGTTTAAAGAAAGTCTTACGGATGTGCGAACATTTTAAAGATACAACAAATATAAGGATGCAGCGGCTCTTAGTAAAATATTGTATGCTTAAAACAGATCACGTATGTTACTTCAGACTTTTACAATAGATATATAAAAATAGACATTGCACCACAGAAACTGACAGCTCAAATCCCAAAGCGAAGGATACCGGCCATAAGAACCAACTGTGGGCGACAAAGTTCAACTTTTGAAACAACTAAAACTCTAAATAGCACGGATTTGGACATCAACTTTATTAATACGTTTTGACGTTTTAAAAGTAACTGCTGAAGGTTCTTGGTTGGTGATGAAATCGTGTTTTCATTTGGATAGTTTATTGCACCAAGCACGTAACCATTATATATAGCTAATTTTAAAGAAATATGTTTTCAGTGTAATGTCATCTGAATTTGTTGTTGTTGCTGACATGTCAGAGCTATATAAGATTGCAGTCGAGTGTTGATGTTTTTTTGTTTTTTTGGTATTTACACGACTAACATTTTTGCTAACGTTTATAGTGTTTTCTTACCATGTACATTTTCCCCTGTTGCTTTGATTGGTATTTCTTTTTATTGTGTAACGCTTCGCGAAATTTCCTTATGTACCTACCTTGAGCTGCTGAACTTCAGAGGGCAGAGGCTTTGTCGGGCACCACGCCTTTATTTCTACCCCCTACGCGGTAACCCGCGAAACAAATTTTAAAAAAGGTAGAATGTGAGAAGGTACCAAATTGTTTCGTGTTACAGATGAGAATGTTCAGGGGGAGGGACTGCCGAATGAAATGCTATCGCACTATCGCATGTGGTTTCTTTTACGCAGAGCTGACTGAGAAACGTAAATGAGGGTCGAGCTGGAGCGTCCGTCTACAGAGCCACGCAATGGCGCTAAGAACGCGTACTTACAGTTTGCTCTGCAACCTGCGAAGCGAAGTGGGCGTTCTCTCCGGCAATTAGTCTCAAACGCGAACGGGCCGCACATGCACAGCGGCGACAGGGATTTCTGTAGAGCGGAGCGGGTCCAGAAAAACGCTCCATAGAAACTCATTTTCTTTCTTTTGAATGCAAGAGGCCCGTTACTCTTAAATAATAATACGAAACAAGTACTATTAGAAGCGTTTGCACATCGTTTTGGTTTCGCCATCCTTTATATGTGCTTATGTTGAATTGTTCCGCTCCGCTCTACAGAAATCCCTGTCGCCATTGTGCATGTGCGGCCCGTTCGCGTTTGAGAGTAAATGCCGGAGAGAACGCCCACTTCGCTTCGCCGGTCGCAGAGTCTCTGAAAATTGTGTTTAGCTCACCGTGGTTTAGCTTTTTTAGGGGCGAAGCTCCTTATACTCCGTTTCATACTTAGCGTGCAACGCTCTCAAAGCTACTGGCGCGAGCGCGTGACTTCACCTATTGTTTTGCTTGCGCGAGAACGCGTGCAAATGATCAACGAGATCAAGCCCCACGCTCGCGCCAGTAGCGTTCACAGCGTTGCACGCTAAGTATGAAACAGAGTATAGGGGCTAGCCATGTCCGTATGTCCGTCCGCCGTCGGGTGCACGTGCTCCTGCTCGTGAGCTCACGTGCTCACGAGCACGTGCTCCCGTGCTCGTGTAGGGCAAAAACAAAAACAAAAAAACAACCGCATCTCCACGTGGTGAATGGTGTTGATTGGGGCGAAGCTCTGGTAGATGCTTGTCTGTTTAGACGGTGAGCCGCAGCATGTCGAGCCTTTCGTTCGTTTTCATCCATGTCAGAAAGATAATATGTGGTATGGAACGTGGTTATATACGCATTTCAGCATTTGACCGCAGCGTGACATGGATAAAAGCGAACGAAAGGCTCGGCATGCTGCGGCTCAGCGTCTACGCAGACAAGCACCACCAGAGCTTCGCCCCAATCAACATCATTCATCACGTGGAGATGCGTTTTTTTTTATTAGCTCGCTTTTAATACCATAAGAAAGCTAGGAGAGAAAATATCTGTTTTAACTGAACAAACGTTTTATAAAGCAGGAGCAGGGAGAAATAGGTTTCTTACAAGCGAACAGTCAAATTATCCTTCACATTCAACGGTGGCGAGCATGTCCCGGTGGAAAAATGCGAAACCTTGGCCACGCTCTCCCCGGAGAAGATAGGGTCCGACGAAGAGGATGTCTGGAAGACAGTGTTGAACGTTGTCTCTTTCACCGAGCTCAGCTTTCCCTTCTCGTCACGCCCGAGGGATGCAAAAAAACCAAAGACCACGTCTTTGACGGCTGTGAGTGGCCTCTCGAAGAACAGGGTGCCGAAAAAAGCAACCACGAGGGATAATATGAAGGTTCCTATGCCGTTGTAAAACTGAAAAAAAAAAAAAAAAATTATGAATAAGAAGAATTTCGGAAATTAAATTTTTGCGCAGGCAAGATGGTGGAAGCTTACCATAGTGATATTCCCAAGACTAGAACATGATAAACCACTGACATATTTTCGTATTCTTTGTAAGCCCCAGCCTCTGGGGAATAGTACTATGATGAGTTACGTTGTAAAAAAAGGAGTTTTTTTTTTTTTGCAAAGATCGTATAAATTAGGCTTCCGTTTTAGTAGGAACCCTACTCAGCATCGGCGGAGAGAGTGTTCCAGGATGTGCTTTTAACACGAAATGTGTTTATAGGCAGGATTTAATGGCAGAGTGTAACGCTCAAGTGTGACAAAACAGCGGTACACGCAGGCCAATTCAACAAAAATTATGAATAGCCGGTAGCAGGCAATGCATAAGCACCCAAAGCGTATGGAAGGCATAATAATTTATACATAATCATTAATAGGAACAAACAATTGAAAACAGGCAGATTCACCAAGGAGCTCAGCGGGAATCAAAATCCGGACCATGCGATTCGCAGTTTGACATTTGTTTTTGGTGTCATAGGCCGGAGATGAACGAGAGCGCAAGCCACTGGACTAAGTGTGACTTGCAGCCGATGGTCGCCTGCGGTAGCACGCGACTGTCCGCGGCGAGTCATACTTAGTCGAGCATACTTGGTTCAGCAAACTTAGTCCGCAGGCAACCGTCGGCGGCAAGTCATACTTCGTCCAGCATACTGAGTTTGTGACAGCTGGCGGCAAGTCATACACTTACGCCATCCTACTTAGTCCGCAGGCGATCGTTGTCGGCGAGTCATACTTACTAGTCCAACGTAATTATACTTAAATCCTATCGCAGCCGACGTTACTATTCAGTGGAGCCAATTTAACGGCGTAAGAACCGCATAATCCCGGCGCTCGTTTGCTTTGTGGGTTTGCCATCACCGGTTAAACCAAGCACGCGAGACAAAAGCGCAGGATCACAACGTCTTTATTGCGTGCGATTAATTTCGTCGGCGAGAGCAAACCGACAGAGATCGTTAGTGCCGTGACGATGCTCTTTTGGCAATGCTTTATTGACTCAGTCGAATTTATAGGGTCGTCTGCGGTCAAAGTGAATTGTAGTATATTGCGCAGGCGACCGCCTACGCGCGCGGCTGGCTCCAGCAAAAACCCCCAAAAAACACGTGAACTCGAGACATCACGGTGCGAATCACTACGTATCAGGGGATAGCGCAGCGGGCCTATGACCGTCGGAACTTTAAACAAATAATAATTAGTAGAGTACAGGGCGTGAGAAACCTCCTCCCCTCGCATATAAATAGACCAATCTCACCACCCAGTTTGACTACGCCGCCGCTGCCGCAATGCATCGAGGGAACTTTAGTCTTTAGGCACGTGCGACAACCTCGCTGGAGCTCTGCGTGTGTAGAGCACGAGAAGGCACGAGCCCTCGCGTGCACGGCCGTCTGCTTCCTGTGAACTAAAGTTATGGCGGCGTCACGCTGGCGCCGAGCACTTAGTGAGATCGTCCTATTCAGTCGCCACAAGGGGCTCTTAAAATGGAAAATTACCGAGAATTCAAGGGCCTACACGAACACACCAAAGCCACTGACAACTTCTCAATAAAATATGCTTGTGACACACTCTAGTCCTTAAAGAAAAAGAACAAAGTTTAAGTTGTTTTGATCATGCCGGCGAAACGCGGAGATCACAGGAGTCTGCTGTGTGGGTGGCGCATCCGAATCCACCAAAAGCTCCCGGCAACCAAGCTAAGGAAATCATAACGGACGCATCTTACACGCACGACATATTCTGTATTTTCCAGGTTGGTCAGAATGATCGAGGCAAACTATTGACTTTTCTAAGCTGAAAACTCTTTAGTGGTTAGGAAAATAAACACTTTGCTTTGTTCCTTTATCTAAGCTGCATTTTGGTTACATTTTTTATGTTTTCAGACGAAACAAACAAAAGATAAAACCAGCCGTGCTAAATGTTTTGTCAATTCAGATTTGTTCGCAAAGCTCTGATATTGAAAATTACAGTGACAAAAACAAAACAAAATGTGTAATATCAAGAAGACCCCGTCAGCGGTCCTAATAAGAGAATGTATTGAACCATGGTTAAAAGCGCTATAAGATAGAAGACAAACACGGGCGCTAAAGAACTTGTTGTTGGGCTAGTTGGTGTTGACTGTGTACGTCTTTTTTTAGCGCTTTTAACTATGGTTCAGTACAGTCAACACCAATTAGCCCAACAACAAGTTCTTTTACTAATAAGAGAACACTGTCTATTTTTTCTAACATGGTACGATCGATTTGCAAAGCATGGCTTATTTTGGATGGCCATTCAGTATTATCCGTCAATGTTTCTGCAGTTCCGAAACGCCACGGGATCAAATCCCCCCCAGACCAGGATTTTAATTTTTACATTTACGAGCTTAAACTTTAAAGTTTGGGCATCATGCGCATAGCCAGCGTTTTTATAACGATGAAAGCTATAATCACGGAGGTTTCCATAAATGTTACTCTTAATTCAATTGGCTTTTGTTGTCCTAGATACGCGTCTAGATAATTTATTTTTATCATAGATTTAAGAAAATAAAAAAATTAATAGTCAAACTTTTTTTTTTTTTTTCGGAGAGGTGGATTTTACAAAAGTAGACATTGAGAAACGTCGAATGTCTCAAAAGCAGGGAAGTTCAAAAAAGTGACATCGGATAAACATAGATTTCGCGAAGAATATTTTAAGTACCCGTATATATTCTATAAGAACCCAAATGCTACTAAGATGACCGAATGACTTCCTTCTACAATATGCATAATATAGGAATGCCTGAAATTAACCTATTGGCAAAGGCGTTAAAGAAATATATTCCGTTAAATATTTTAGTAATGTTTTGCGCCTAATACTAGCAAGATATGTAACGAGACATATTTACGCAGTTCATATATGTTCCCCATTGAATGATGCTGAGGTCCTTGAATAAGCACACGATTTAAGCGCGACATTATTCATACGGGACATTGCGTCGCTGATTTGTTGTGGCACGAGCTCTGCTTTTTAACGCTCGCTTTCTAATGTGCTGTTTTGACGCGTACTGTTTCTACGTGTGCCCTTTTGATGCTGTCCCTATTTTGTCGCGTTTTCCTGAAACAGGACAATGAGCCAATCTTATCACTTTAAAGTCATCGAGGACACGTACTCGAAAAAGATCTGGATAGTCTCCTCCTCCGCAAAGCACTTGAGAGACCCATTCGCTGCAATCGAAGGAGGGAACTCGGCAACTGAGGAGGCTGAACAAATGTTTGGGTCTAAAAAAAATCTTTCTTTGCGCTCTCACACTGGGAACGTTCAGCCGAGCTCTTTGTCTCAGCACGCTGTTTTTCCAAGTTCGAAAAAATTTCCGGGGACACCTAAGCACTTCTTATGAGTTGTGAATGCGAAACCATTCATGTCCAATTCAACGCCGCTGAGTGCTGGTGTGGACGGCCACGTTTCGCCACAGCCGAGATTGCGGCCACCGACGGATGCTTCTTGCCGCTTGAGACGCTTTGATTCGCGATCCGCTTTCGCTGGTGACTGCTGCGCCGCTGGGTGAGGCAGCGGCGAAAGTGCGAAGCTCGGCGAGGCCCGTGCTGAAATCACGTGTCCTCTCACGGTTGACGACATTAGACCTCAAAGCGTAACGTTAAGCCTAACGTCAGGCCCCCCAGCGCATACTCCCCCCCCCCCCCCCCCCCCCCACCCCCCTCTTTCCTCCTGCGCCGCCGGCAGTTCGGCTGGCTCCTTAGCAACGATGACGACGTTGCTATGGAGCCACATGACGCGTCGCAGCCAATAGGAAGTTAGACGCCGCTTCGCTGCTACAGAAAACGCCGGCTTCGCTCTATGGGACAGTTAATACTTTCGCATTAACATATTTTTAGCCCATTGCCTTTCCGAAATGCTTTGCAGGAAAGTAGGCATTGCAAATTTGTTAGAGTGTGCCGGGTGTCTCTCAAAGAACCGTTGAGAGGATTTTGGCGTCTGCTCCGGTATCTCTTCAAGTTTTATTCTTACGTATAATTGTTTCATTTACTTTCGAATATTTGTTTCTATCGGCAAGACGACAGCTCCTTGATTCCCAATGTTAATGTTCAGTTTGTTTTGAGAGGTCTTACCATGGGCATGAAGGATATGAGGATCCGCTCCCTGATGGTCCACATGCGCAGCCACACGAGCGGGACGTGTAGCACGTAGATGGAGTAAGACAGTCGACTGATGGGCACGAGCAAACGGGTGCTCAGGATGGCGTTCACGATTCCTGCGAGGGTATATGATAAGGTATAGCTTGAAACGCATTCAAAACAGGCACACAACGGACCCGAACACTAGACGAAAAAGACCGCGGGGAACCACCTAAAGCAGCGTGTCTGGGCAAGTCGTGTCGCGCTGCCCCGCTCGTGCCTGCTCACCAGTGCCACCTATCGTCACTGATAAAGTGAAAATGGCAGGGAGGAGCTTTTGTTTGTCCCGCCTCCAGAGCCAGCTTCGTATACCTCTGACAGAGCTTCAATGTCTCGTGCATATTGAGAGCGCCCGCGCCGAGGACTTGAGTTTGGAAAACACTCCTGGCGTTCTTACTTCGTGTGTTACTATAGAACACAAGTCCTCTGCCTTGCTTACTCTTAGGTCAACTGCAGTAGATCCACACGGCGCCCTCGCGCCCGCTTTGCCGCAAGCGCATCTTGCAACGCCTCCTAACGAGCGCGGAAATCCATGTGCTTGCCTGGGCTTCGTAACATCGTCCCCTTGTGCGTTTCAAGTACAATCAGCAGAAAGAGTAACACCTAGATGTTTTAATTGTAGGTATTTTACTTCGTTCAAATTGTTCAAATTGTTATTGAGTATCGTGTATTTTGTTCTCGCTTCGTTCGTGTGCGTTGGCCACGATCTTCACTTATTGCTCCATGGTATAACTCTGGTCAAGCCAGCATGCAAGTCCGTGGAGCTCTACTCTTCAGTTATGTGCATACATCTGTAAATGGCAGAATGGTCGGTAAATAATCCTAGCTACCCTTGAACTCATGCCGACCGTAATATCACAAAACATATTAAAAATAAGAACGGCCCCAACACGGAACCTTGCGGCACGTGAGATGCAACGTAAACAAACGTAGATGTTTCACCGTTTAAGACACAATGCGTTGGCGACGCAAGAATATATACAGAATGTTTTTTTATCGAATACAGATTTTTATAAAAACAAAAAAAAAAAGCTATACAAATGCGATCTCTGCAATTGAGTTATACGGTAAGCCGGACATTATGTTCCAGAGAGAATGCAACTAAACGATGTCTAATTAACAAGAAAAAATTACTTTTCAATTAGACGTCTTAGGGCACATGTTTTTATTGAAGAAATGGAATCAATCAATGTTGGAGGTCAGCCCAGTTTTTAAAAATCCTTGATCATTCACGCAGTTAGAGTTATTCTTTGTCAAATTTCGTTCTCAAAATCTGTCGATACCAAAACCAAACTCGCCGACCTCCGCCGAAAGGGCAAACCTCATTTGACGCCGGATGGTCACATGTTAATGACGAAATTTCGTTCACTATCTTTCGTCATGGCACGCCGGAGCTGATTGCAGTCGGTGCCCTAAGGCTGGCGAATTACAAAGCGATAAGCCAGCTTACCGGCCGCGGCAAGTTGCTCTGCTTTGCTCCGTGATATGACTGAAAAACACGTGGCCCTCTGGCATCAAACGTGGGTTGTCTTTGCGGCGGGCATCGCACGTCTGGTTTCGGTATCGACAGTTTAACAGAACATAGTTTTACAATTAATAACACTAACTGCTTGATCGATCCAGAATTTTAAAACTCGGCTGGCCTGCAACATTGATTGCTTCAGAGTTCATTAAAAAGTAATTCGCGAATTTTGGTTAATTAGACATATTTTAGTGGTGTTCTCTCTCTTGAACACGATGTACGCCTGGCCGTCTAACTCACTTGCACAAACCGAATTTGTGTTGCTTCGACGGCTTTTTTTACATCAGTTTCCCCAGTTTCGTGTCCGTGGAAATATAAATATCGACACAACCCTCTGCACAGCTACCGCCATCTATGCGTCTGGTTGCCACTATAGATGTGCATCTATGGTGGCAACCAGACAACTGGCTTGCCGCCGTTACTCATAAATGGTGGCACATAGTACAACTTCGCCGCTCTTCCTTCTTCACCAGAGTGGAATTTCTGAAAGTTTTTTTTTAATGTGCATTTGATATATAAAAAAAAACGTATGCACATTTATCACTTTAAGATGACAGGGTTAATGTTTGAGAATGCTAATTTGTGTAATAACAGTGAGGTGTGATATGTCGAATGCTTTTCAATAGTCTGAATGCACAGTCAATCTGTTCGCCTCCGACAAGATTCCAGATAATGATAGCGCTCAGTTAAAGGGATACTGAGACGCTGTTTATGCTAGCCAATGTTTTTATTCGTACACGACATATGAGAGTTCATCTACCCAGAACACAATTTTCGGCTCGAAATTCGTTTTCTTTCCGCCCAAAAACTGCCGCTCAAGAACTGGCCGGTCTGAGTCACGCTCACTCTCTTCTCCGTGGTCGCGGCCCGTTTTCTGTGGTTTAGACACAACCACCAAAGATAATCGAAGTCGTGGGTCATCAATGGCACACACCCAAAACTAAAGATGGACAAAAAATATGATACCCATTTTTTGTGGCTTCTTAAAAACTGTAAATACGTTGAATAAAAAAAAAAAAAGTTGCACAGCCATGTGATTTTTGGAAACTTTGTCCTCTATATTTCTTCTTCCTCCCCAGTCCGATTTCGGTTTCGGTTTCGAGCAATTGTGTTTTTTTACTTTTTTTTTTTTTTTAATATACGTGACGCTGTGCCAAAATATTGATTTGGCATTCTTCTGACACTATAATAGATTGCCTGGTAAAACATGAACACAATTTCTTGGGGGTGTCAGTGTTGTTTTAAATGTGTCGACTGAGCTGTATCAGTCCCGTGAAACGGTCGCAGCGCTCGATCGGCTGGGATATCCCGCAGGGTCTATTGCGGTTTATCGTAAGTAATATAAGTGGAGTTATGTGGATATTTAGACAGCGTGTAGTTGGTCAGCCATTTCAAAGTTGGGACGAGTCGCACGCTGTAGATAAGAAATTTAGCCCGTGCAGTACAACCGCTAGCAATGGGGTCTTTAACGTGCACCACGAAGTAGTGATACACGACTGCAGGCTGGTACGATGCTCATCCAGATCGAAACGGGCAGAGGTGAGGATTGAACCCACGATCTCTGGGTTGGTTTATTGTAAAGTGAAACGGAATATAGCAGGCTAGCATCGCTCTATTTGCGAGATGCTACGAGACACGCTCGTAACGACGCAGACGCAATACAGTCGGTGCCATGTGGACTCCAACCAGTGATGACGTTAGAGGATAGGCGCATGCCTTGTCCTCTACGTGGTATGGGGCAACGGCGGTGGCGCACTGCACACGACAGCGTCGTGCTCGCGTACCTCCTCAACAGAGCCTAGATTTAAGAAAGAGAGAGCAGCTAAAAGTATGGAGAGCGTTCGTAATTTAATAGAGGACGCCTGCTGGGCAGACTGGTTGCAAGTGTGCATGTGTTGCGTTGTCGTGCGGTGAAAAAGAGAGTGGGCGGAAAGGTGGAGCCCCTTGCAGACGACCAACGCTTCCGTTACCTCCTCGCAGCTCGTACTGCAAACGCGGACTCTAAACCACGGGACCCCTATCGCGCAGTTGGAAACACTCTAAAAAATCTAGGCGCACTAACCTCCTCTACCCGAGACGCAGGCGACCACGATCCAGGCGAGGCAAAGTCCCCAGACGAGGCGGTGCGTTCCGGCGTAGGCGGCTGACACCCAGGGGGGAGGCACGTCCCCGCTGCCCCACTCCTTGGTGCAGAACAGAATGGTAGCGCCAGAGCACAGGGACACCGCCCAGCACACTGCTTGGAACACCTGGGGTGGGAAGGTTCATTTTGTGCTAAGGGGTACGGAGTCAGTGCTCCGTTCGTTGCTAAGCTGACAGTGCTGTGGGAGCTACGTACACCCCGGACCAATCACCCGTTTTCCTTTCGTCACCTGACCATACATTCTGTCTGGCAGCAAGTGCGGGAGCGAAATCACGTGGCGAAAGGTACGCACACGACTGGTCAATCGAGTACGTATCTCCCACCGCACTGTCAGCTTACGGGTGAACGGAGTACAGACGAGATTTTTCATTAGATTGCTTTGGCAATAGGCCCTGTCTGAAATTCAATCCGGCCGACCCCGTCACCATCTGAGAAATGATATATGTTCTGCAGTACCTGTACCAATGGCGGCCTTTTAGTTACTAATGCAGGAAGGAGCTGATGATACTCCTATATGTGACGCAAGAATTTAGAGCTGCCTAGAATTCATTTCTAACTCGAGTCCAGTCAATTGGTTAGCGGCTTACAATAGGCTCGACGAAGCACCGGAAGTCCCAGCGCATCCCTTTATTTCGAAGACAGACCCCGCGAGCTGGCGGAAGAGCAAAGGAGGGGATCGGCCAGTGCTTGACGCTGTGTGTTTCTCTTGAAACGAGAACCAGTATTAAGGTCCATACGCACATCTGCGTTTGAGCGCGGTGCGTTCCGTAGCGGCAAGCGGACGCGTTGCATTGCGAAAAGTGCTTACGGCAAGCTTGTAAATACAATTGCGCTGACACGTAGTCAACCGCAATCAAGAGCCAATAAGAACGCGCTATCGTCGCGAGCGGCTCGTCAATAGTAAGCGAAATACACGGCAATATGGCGGCGCCCAGCGACAGCGGCGAAGTGTTCGATCTTGGCACAATCCCGCTGGCTTCCCCGACATTTTGTCGAGCTTGAACATCGTGTCCTTGAAAAAAGCAGTCCCCAACGCTCTCCGAAAGGAAAAAGCAAGAGAGCGGAGAACCGGATCGCCGAATCGGCCTAGTGGTGCGAGCGAACACGTCACCCTCCTCTCCTCTCTCGGCTTCTGATTGGTCGAACGCACCGCAACGCTTCGGAAAGTTGAGCGAGTCTCTACTCGCCTGCGTCGCGCTACCGAGCGTTGCGGGAAGGTGCGCGTCGTACCGCAAGCGACGGCGCCTGGCCGCAAGGACTCCTCAACGCACACAAACGCAGTCAAACGCGAATGTGCGTATGGACCTTTCGAGGTTTTGCGCGATATATCTTAATTTTCCAACTACGAAAAATATGATAAATAAAGGGGTTAAAAATACAGAGGGGTCGTGGTCGTGGTTTTATACTTTAAGAGTCGGAAAACGACTTCAGAAACCCAACGCATCATTGTCACGTGATATGACGTCACACGAACCAGCCATCAGGGCGTGACGTCATAACGTAAAAGTGTCGCTCCTGGCGGCGGACCACGTAACTTCATCCACAGGTGCCGATAGGAAAAAGCCAAAACACGTGAACAGAAGGCGGGCCACCTGAGCACCTGACCATCTGATAGGCGATCAGTCACTGATAATCTATATTTTTAGATTATCTTTTAATTCATGAAATTATTATTGTGCGATACTGTGAAATGCTGGTCCTGCGATACTGGTTGCACAGTTAAGACACACATAAATTGTTTTTATTACAAATAAGCAAGGTGGACCACATACCTTTCCTATACTATGCTGCGTCAGTTTGGAGACGAAAGCATAGGCGACCACAATGCCCAGGCAAAATGGCCCAAAATGAGTGTATGGTCGGAAGTATAGCTCACTCAGCAAATGCTTTGAAAACCTACAAAATACAGAAACAAAACGTTAGTTATTTTAAAATCATATCAGAGTACTCATTTTACACATCTCTTCTTTTTTCTTCACATACCCGGTACATTACCAGTAAGTTCTTCCAAAAAAGGAATCTTTTTTTTTTTCTTAATGTTGTCACACACTATACTCCACTCATTATGCATCTACTTTATGAAGCGTATACTGTCTCTGAACTTAAACTTAACATATAGCGCGCTAACGATGTTACGCTGAAGGTCGGTAACCGTATTTGTGGGAACAATCGACGCAATGTTCATGAACAAGCCCCTATCGCCCACTTTCCCACGCAGAGCATGCATTACGCCAATCATCGCGTTTCACCTAACAAGCTCGGCCAATAATCCGGGGGGAAAGTTTATTTTCAGCGAAAATGCGACCTGCGCAGATAATATTCCCGCACGGAGGACGTTGTCCCTGTCCCTTAAGTCGCCAGTCTCTTTTTCGTTCTCTCAGAGAAGGAAAAAGAGAACGATTGACTGAAGAAGGGCCTACCAATCCCGAAACGTTTCGCATCGCCTCATCCTGACACAGCTAATAAGGGCAAACCTTTTTTGATAGTTGTTACTCGTGAGGGCCTTCTTTATTTATTTATATATATATATATACATATATATAAAGTAACACTTTAACAGATGGTTGCAGGACCATTTTAGGGTCCTCTGTACTTTGCAGTATATATTATCTCATAATATGTCTGCGTCAAAATAACGCCAGAGCATATTTATGTATCCTACTAAAACTTGATCGCACAACTGTTTTGACCACCAACCTAATGAAATATTTCTGCAATTTCCTACGGCTTCTAGCAACTCAGATACAATCAGGACCTGTACGACTATAGCGTTCAACATAACATAGTGCGCGCGTTACGATATCAATAAAAACCTTTACTTACAGAAGATCACCCGCTACAAAAAGTGCCGTTGGCTGGTAATCATTGACGAGCGTCTGGGCCATGACAACGCCGACGCCTGCCATTACCATTAAGCCCATTAAGAACAGGGCTAAATACGTCCTCCTGTCAAACAAAAATAAAGTTGTAATAGAGTCACTTCTAATCAACTTCGCTCTCAGTCTCTATTGCCAGAGTCCTTCAATACGCTACTGGTCACGAAGTATCTCCATACGCTGTGGGAGAGCTTTGTATGCCACCATGCACGGCGCTAGCTTCGACAGGGGGGCTAAGAGCCGCCAATTTAGCCAGTACCACTGGGAGTCTGGCAACCAGAATATGGAATCGCAATTTCGAATGCAATCTCGGTGACGCGTCACTACACTGGCGACGTTTCCTTTTAGTGTAAGCGTCTTTGGCTCTGTACGCTCAGTCAACTGCTCAAACTTCATTTTCTGCAACTTTTTTCAAAATAATATCACGTATCATTCCTTCTTTTAGCCTCAAAACGAATTCTCAATACCGTCAGTACTTGATCGCCGTGAGCTAAGCCATAAAGTAGAGGCAGTGCGAATCTATACACTCAGTTGCCTGGCTCTTTTTCGCTTGCAAAACATCCTTTTGATTAAAAACACATATGAAAAAACGTATCTGGAAGTTCTCCAATTAAAAGTCAATAAAGAATGACAATTGTTTGCATACGGTGTTCAATTACAGGCGTAACAAAATGTCGCGGTAGGAGAAACTTTTTTTTAATTACTGGTCATTGCGAATTTAGGATGGCTCACTGAGGGTGGCGTGACCAAACAAAAATGCCCCCTCTGGAACAGTAGCGCCACTGGAGGCAAATGTTTACCCTATACAAAACCTTGACCGAAGTTTCATGTCCAGTTGCGTTTTGAAGAACTCCGCTATTCCTTTTCAAAATTTCTCTAACAAGGCAAAAATAAGCAGCAGGGCCACTCAAGTCTATCTTAGCTAATAGACCTTATTCAGATTCTTGCGCCGTCTGTCGGACGTGGCGCCAACGTTCTTCAGCAGCCTCAAATATGGCGACCAATCTTGGAGGTTACGTGCAGACCGCAGCTATGAGAAAGTGATGCTACACTACTGCTGTGTCTCCCTGCGCAATCAACAGAGAAATAAGAAACTTACCGAATTAAATATACGGACTACGTTGCTTTCTTTTTCGATCGAAACTTTTTAGAGCGAATCTTGGAATAATCGTAGCGTTTTATTGCGACTATCCGAGTGGCAAAATGGAGGAGTTTCCACCGCCTGTTCTAGAGCAGGCTTTGTCAATTTTTCGTGATATACGAAGGTCTCCATTACTGTATTCAAGGGAAACGCCGGTCAAAAGTCAAACCAAATAAACTATTATATCAATTTACGAAGGCTAAATACGAGCACGGCAAAAATGTTACACTAATGGGAAACCACGATTCACTCTAAAACCGATATTAAAAAGGCTACCACCAGCTTATCAGCGGGCATTCAGCGGGTAGACTGTTTGTCGAGCAACCTTGTACCCCGACGTCCCTATCGTACACAAGTAGGCCAAGCCAATTGTCAGGCAGGTTACGTATACTTACTTCTAGTTCTTTCGCCGTGTTTTTATACTGCGTTATCAGTCGTCCCAGCGTATGATTTCTGTTTCTAGTGTTAGGCTTTAGCGGCCCACTTTTATAAGTGCTTCTCAGTGATCGCACACGAAGATTATTGACTCCAAGCTCGCTCAAGTGCGTCGTGGTGCTGAAGGGTTCGTACACGGGCTGCTATAGTTTAGGTTGTTCCTGGGGGGCTATGTTGCACGTTTTGGACTCCCAGGAGACTAGGAAGAAGGAAGTGACATCAATAACGCAGCAAATGCAGATTGGATGTTGATTTTGTTTTCTTCTGTCAATATCCAATCTGCATTTGCTCTAGTCGTTGACGTCACTTCCTTCTCCCAAGTCTCCTGGGAGTCCAAAACGTGCAACATAGCCCCCCTGGTCAGTGCGAGCTTACGACTAGTTTCCACAACGCTTCTGTAACGGGCATTGCACACACCTAGATGGAAGTTCTTCTCGGAAGACAAGTAAGGGCTCGTTCTGAGCCTGCGTTCATCGTGGCAGACTCGCTGTTCGGCCTGCAACTTTACGAATGGGTATCAATATTTGTTACAGGTATTTTATATCTACGAAGCAAAGCAGTAAAGCAGACCTAACCTGACTTCTCGTAACTGCTATTGCGACCTGGCCAGTCGAGCGTTTTGCCACGGCCACTCGATTAGGACTCCCCTTGGGAGCGGCCTGCCGTATGCCTCACTCCGCCAGTGAGAGCGATAGTTCTACTTTACCCCGCAGCGCCAGCCGTGGCGCTCGTTATCGGTGAGAGATGAAGTTCCTTTCGGGGGAGCATATCGAGGAACTCTATACTTCGTTTCACGTTAGTATGTACTTGTTAGCTGCGCGTGCTAAAAGAGCGAGATAGCTGCTTCGAAGGAAGCCTCGGAGGCTGCATGAGCGCTCGTGCAGCGAGTGCTCCAGTCAAGGCAGTAATGGCTAGCCGCTCGCGCTAGCACAGCGTTCGCGGTTAGTCCATGCTAAGGTAAGACGAAATATAGTGAGAGAGGAGCAGTACGCCCGGCCCGGCCCGGTGTGGCTGTTTAGATTTTTTTTTCGTGAAGCCGCAAGTTTAAATTGAAATGAGTGCCAGATTGCATGAAAGATGTGACAAATCTGTGTAGACTCAAAGCACATGATTCTTTCTGCGAAAAGCTCACTCAGCTGCAGGCTGCGCGTTAAACCTGCACTCTGCTGGCAGTGTGAGCGAATCGTCGTTTTCTTGTTCCCGTAACTGTTGCCCCGTTTCTATTACCACTGTAATATAGGAGTTACAGTTGGATATAGCTAGGCCGTATGATTTCCGGTTTTAACCGACGCTCGAACTCGCGCGAGCTGTGCCATTTATTCATCTGTGAAGGACAATATAAAATCAGATTCCGCGTGCGTAACTTCAGCAATATAAACTTCATTGTTCACAAAAAACAGACCAAGGGTTTCATATAGTTCACAAGCGGAGTACCTTTCGGGAAAGAGGCTTCCGCGAATGCCTCAATATATTCTCTAGTGGGCTGTTTAGGCCACCAACCCTGTTTGCCAAAAAAGGACTGAGGAGTTTTCTGAGAAAGACCTCGCAGGAAGCTCTTCACTGTGGTAGGGGTCTCGGCAGTTAACACACCACATCAGCGGGCAGTCTATAAGGTGTGGAAGCACAGCGCTCGAGAAAACCTTGCCAATCCTTTCACAACCACGAATCTCTGCCGATTGCAGAGCCCTCTCGACAAGGGTGCAGACGAGCTTGCACAGCCAGACAGCTTCAGATCGTGGAAAGCTGAGTCCTCCTTGGTCAAGGCTAAACATGGACTGATATGCTCCGTCATGCGATGCATTTCCCTTAAGTTGCGCTTGCATTCAGGACACGTCACCTGCAAAGTTTAGCGGGTTCTACACATTAGCCTTCCTTGCTTTCACTGAGAAATTCTTATTGCTTTGCCAGGTTGAATGTTTCAGCTAATTACTTTGAAATTACGACAATTTCTAGAAATAAAAATGGTCACGTTTTGTTCGCAAGCGAAGGCCAAGTAGCCAGCAATGTAAGTCAGCGATGCGAACTCAAGTTCGGAAGAGACTTCATTGTACTTCATTAACTGCAGGATTTCCTGTTTCACGAGTGGAGTTGGCACATTTCATCGCCGTCTGGCACTCAGAACTAGAACGCGCATTTACATTTCCGGCAGCTTCCAAAATGCCAACACTAACCACACACGCGAGCGCAGAGCGACACGATATTTTCGGCGAGCACAGCGGTGCATAGGTGCTCGCCTGGGCGCGCTGCACCGCTCACCGATGTGCAGCGCCCTAAGGGAAAATGGGAGAAGTTCTCCTCTCACGCGCGCTCTTTTGTTTTCGGAAAAACATCGGCAGGCCGCACCAACACGGGGGATCGAGTGGCCGTGGTTTTGCAGTACCGCAAAACGAAATTTGAGTAGCACAATCGCCATGCAGTTAATCACCAAAGTTACCATCACGCTCGAGCCAGTAGTTTCGGTTTCGCCGTATACCCCGGAAAACAAACTTTGAGATGAAACATCTACAAAACTACACAAGGCATAAAAAAAAAGAAAGAATTACACCACGTCATTCAAGCCCACTTCCTGCACTATAATCAGTCGTGACCAAAAAATCTAGAGAATGTATCGGAGTTACCCTTTAAAGAAATCATGAAACGATATCGGGTCGGAATGTTCCTGACTTCGCAGAGGCGTACCGGTCCTAGTCTGGCCCAAGTTTACTCGCAAATACCAACAGTGATTCAGAAGCTTCTTTGTCGCGGTGAAATTGCGTGGATAAAAGGGGGCTATATATTTTAGTCTTGCTTTCGGAGAGCTTGATGACGCAATTGTGGGATCTAAACCACTCGCCTGACGACAGTCGAGCGCGGCTCATGGATTGGACAGGAGAACTGCGTGAGCACTCGACTTCGCCTCGTAACAATTAATACCTCGGCGGACACTTGGGTAGTGGCTCGTGTCCAAACAGTGCTCTGATAAGAAGGGCTTAAATCTAACAATGCCTGGAGCTCAGCACGCGTTTTCTACTTTGCTAACCCCAGCGCGTGGCTATGATTAACGTTGGCGGCACAGAATAGGCACCAGGCCACGTGTGCGCTTGTTCTGGCTCCGAGTTGAGGGGAAGAACGATGGTCATATTTCTTGTATTTTTTTGGCGGCTGCTCTCTGCCTAGAAAGAAAAACTAAGGCAAGTTTATTTAATGTTCAACGTTATGAAGTGATTCTAAGTAGTGTTCAGCCAAAGTAGAAAAATCGTTTCACGGCTCCTTTAATAACTGGTCGAGGCTGTATAACATATATGTCGGCTGCGTCCACAGCAACGACAAAGACACTAGGACAACAGCGGCTCGTGATTCTTTCACGAGTTTACTTCTTGCATTGCTTGTCACGTTGTGTGAGGAAAACAGTTTTCCCGGTGACTATACTGTCGGTGTCGTTTCGGTCATTTTTGAACGGAACCAACGCAACTATTTTAACCAGGCTTGTTATTATAATGCATTTCAATATACCTAACACCACCACCAAATAAAAGAAAGAAAAGAAAACACAAGAACTTCCGCGGAGAACGCTATATAGGCAGACCGGCGACGGTGGGGATGCCTCAAAGACGGCGTGCAGGCTCGATAGTTCGCGCGGCCGCCGACAGATGGCGCTAATAATGAATAAGGTCTATTGGTGCGCCGTGGCATATTGTAGTTCGCTATGTGTTGTGATAATGTTCATATATTTTGAGCAAACAAAACATACAAAGGGAACGCATTAATAAAAGCATGAACCTTTTTAAATCATAAAAATTCCTCAAAGTAAATATAAAACAGTAAAGCAGCTCTCGTTATACCGTCAGTATGAATCTAATCAGTTCTTTTTTACCATGATTTTACATGACCTAATGAAGGGACCAAATATAAAACCAGCGATTACATTTGTCGTGCACTATCGAAAGTTGAACATGCATCGAGTCGATGAGAGATAGCACGAAGAAAATATTGCGGAACAAAGTGAGAGCTCCCCCTCCCTCAGAGACGTTGTATGCTATTTTTGTAACGCTCAGGAAACGTTTTTTGATACCTCATGAAGACTAGAGTATAAAATTCAATTTCCCAAAATGATATTTTTTTTTACATGACAAAATGACGTACGCTGAAAACTTGCCGTTTTATGTCTTTTTACGTTTAAAGCAAAATTCATTTTAGTGTATGTGCTTTGCACAAAACACTCAAGTTTTGTGCAGCATAGCTCTCGCTATCATTTTTAAGGAAGTAAGATATCAAAACTCAAAACTGCTACTTCTACCTTTTTTATGACTTAACTAGATGCGCCATCTTGAAGGCTAGCTGAGATAACACAGTTTCATATGAACACGGTTGTAAACTTGAGACTGGGGCAGAAAAGAGAACACAACGGAAGGTAGTAAAAGAGGAGGCAACGTTACAGTTTCATAATTTGTTCTTATAAAAAAAAAAACGTAACTTGGCAGTCTAGTTTCCATAGTCAAAAATACAGTAACGAATATAATTTCAGGTGCATAGATGTTGTTTTTCAATAAGCATAATATACGGAGTTTGTAAACATAAAATGCAGGGTGCATGAGTGGTACCTTTAGCACTCCGCCGAAACGCGATGGATAACTAAAGTTATTACTCCTGCAACAGGACCAAGGCTACCGGGAAGATAGCGCGCCCGCGCGGTTTTTCCGTCTCATATCATCCGTGTTTCCACACCGCCAGCCTTGTGCCTGTTGCATGAGGGGTAACTTTAGCTCACTACTGCGCTAGTAGTTTTTTTAATGACGCTCAGCAAGTTTCTAAATGGAACCATAACTTAATTTAACTAATTACAATAATTAACACATTTTAGTTATTTATTCGATCTAATGTGACAATTTTCCCACGATATTAAGTCCCCCTGGCCGTGTAATTCACCAGCACAACCCTCGTTTGTATAACTTCCATAGCTTTTTCTTTAACAATTCTATAAAACCTAGAAAAGAACACCCTGTATATTCTTGCCTTTCAATAAGTCTAGTATGTAGGTAGATTTAAAGTTCTACAGAATGAAACACAAGAATCACTGGATTATATCAGTAAGTTAGACTATGCGTTACGAGATTTCGCTTACCGAAACAATAAAACCACGAAGCCAATAAATAATATCTGCAGCTGAGTATCCACGGAAATGTACCAATATGGAACCAGGCACTGTAAAACAAAAGACAAGAGCTTCGAGATGAATATACAGAAAGGTATATATACTTAACAATTAGATCCAAAGAAAAACTTTTAGAATAAATTAGTGTTTTAAAACATAGCTGCATTATAGATACAAAAGCTCACCAAGTCTTGATAAAAGCTGCATTTTAATCGGGAAGTTCGTAGAAATAAATATAGTCGATCACAATGTACAATGCACACATGCGAACAAAGTAGGAGTCCCTACGTTCTCATAATGTCAAAAACGTGTTAACTCAGGTTCACATATTTGCAACTGCATACGACTGAGCGCCTTACAAAATCTTATGATCTCTTACAACGAGGGAGCTCACTAGCGTCATCTATCGGGCATGGTTGTAAACCCGAGACTGGGGATACACACAAGGGACACAACACAAAACGACACGCCATCAATATTGCTTCCAGTCATGGAACACTTGCCATTTTCCTGTATTTCATTTTTTTTTGCAAAATATTCTTCTTTTATTGACCTGAAAAAACCTTTCGCAATGCTAGAAACGGCAATCCTTTTATAAATAGCACATAACTCAGTCATGAGCAAATGCAAGAGCCAATGTCGGCACGACATTTTCCAATGTCCTACCGACATTGGGAAATAAAAGAACCATGCCTCCTTACCAGCTCGTCGTGCCTGAGAAAATTCTGACCATTTAACATAAGGAGCCACCAATATTTCTTGCATTTATCGATTTCTGCGCTTATCAACTCGTTCCAGAGAGGACCATCTCCGAAGAAACGTATGAGGATCAGCATGCATATTCCGATGCAGGCAAGGGGTATCAACCTGAAAGTGAAGGAACATAAAAAAATTCACAAAATTAGTGTCTCGCCAGACCAGAATATATCAAACATTAATTATATCAAATGTTTGAAATCAAGGGCACCTGTTTTCAAAAGTCGCGGTGTTATGCCTTAAAATATTTTTTTTCAACAGTTAATAAACAAATGTTCCAAATATGTTTGCATGTTAGTTGCTCCACCTAAAAGTCTCTTGCGTTTGCAACTCAATATTTTGCGAACTTTTCAAAGACGAACATGTTTTCTTTAGTGGGTGACAGCCCATGAGGTTGCAAATGGCCGTAGAAAGGCTAATAATAACATGTATAACAAATGCGCCTAGGATTATGTCGATTATATATAAATATCGTTTGGCTGTACTTATCTCTTAACTTTAGTGTAAAAAGTATGTGTCATATGGAAGCTCCAATACAGTTCCTCAACCTTTTAATAAAAAAAATGTATCTATAACTATTCTAGACACCACCAGCCTTGGAAAATACCGAACTTTAAAACAAAGTCTAGAAAACAGAAAGTAAGGTGCTTTTCTTATCTCCTGAATAAAAAAATGTGGTCCGACTGTCTAGGGGCAATAAATTTGACTTGCTCATTTCAATTGACTTTTTTTCTATAATTTAGTGTTGAAGTATGTATGCCTTAGCCAGGTACACTTCGTACTTTGCCAACAGACTATATAATTGTACTCCTTCGTAGCCGATGAAAGAATGAATGGGGGAGCGTGGGCCGGGGGCTTCTTCCAGCTGCATTTCTTTTGAACGTGATATCAATTAAACACAGAGACTGAGGAAAAGCAATTGGCTGCAAGTTCGGTCGTTTCGCCAAACGCGTTTAAATGCAGTAGCTATATGCACCAACTCAAGTTTATAAATAAGCCTGAGCGTCCCTAGAGTCAATCCACCGGCGCCGCGCATGCGCGATGGGGTGTGGGAAAGAAGCACGCCGTCCCGCATCAACAAACCATTAAAAATGCTGTCGGTAACAGTGTGCGACCCCGTGATTTTTTTCGCGTTAAAATTGTTGGTACTAGGTCTTCCTAGCGATGACTTGTTACTTTGGTGGCCTGAGCGAAATCAACAGGGCTCATTACACCGCAAAACTTAGCGTAAGTAGTAGGGAGTTTTTTTGTAGACTGCGTTTCCCCCTTCACACCATTCCCGGCTCTTAAAGGCCAACGACCATTTCGCGCTTTCCACCTTTCCTCCACTTCCTCCTCTCCCCCCTTCCACCTTGTCCACCATTGCCCATCTCCTCCTCCCCTATGGTGAGGAAAATCTTCTGCCTTACAGAATATCGAGTCTGGTCGTCGGCTTTTAAGACTCGCTGCGTTTTGACAAGAGGCAGGTTTTAGCCTTGTTTCTTCCAAAACAACACAGGTAAGGTCACTCCACCATCGCGGCGTGGCGAAATAGAGTTGAGCTGGTGCATAGGGGAGGGGGGATGATTTTCATAGTTGAGCTGGTTCTTAAGGCAGGATAATATCTCGTCTTTGAGTGACGGGGGATGGTCCTCTTAGTTCAGGTGGTGTCTAGGGCGGGGTTTCCTATGGAAACAGATTACGTCACACCATTTTGTCTTTGTGACGCTGCGCGCGCTTCCTTCAGCAACACCTTGATACAAAGCCTTTCTGCTGAATTTTTTCCTTACCGAAAGAGGAGAGGGGCGCTTTTCTGCCCTTTCCAGTCCTCCTCGTTACGCAAGCTCATCCTACACTGTGCTCCTTTGTTGTCCTTTCCACCCCTCTTAGCTCCGCGCGCTTTCTCACACCACCTGCTTCTTCTCCTCCAATTCCTGCGTCCTGTGTCCATGGCTCATGCAGCAGCCCACTTGACCTGCACGCCGGTGATCGGCGTTCAATCCTTTGCACCGGTTGTCTTTGTTTTTGTTTTTTTAAGGATTGTTTAGTGGCTATGGGCTGACCGACCTACGGATTTTGTGCTTACACGGCACCTGAGGTTGGTTGGCCTTAAAGGCTACCGTTTTAATAGCGATCTAAAAGCACGAGAAAGATTAGGCACTGTCATGTCTGATGTATTTCTTTTTCAGTCCTCGCAGGCGTCGCGCAACGGACACCTAAATAGAGTTGTTAGCGTTAGCTATGACTCGATAACTGTTGATTCAACGAAGCAGAGTTCACTTGCCTCCACCATCGGACCACCGTATAGATAATTATTCTTGGGACTCCAAAGGTCTGGGCATGCTTGCTCACAGCGTATACAAGAAAGAATCCGCTGAAATAAAAGAAAGCGATACAAATATTAATTTAACATTTTAATTAAATTAAGAATTTCACGTTTATCATAAGATCAAAGTCTATCAGTCAAACTATGTAGGACGAATCCTCAATATTGATGTTAAGATCCCTGAAATGTTTATTTATTTATAAATGGAAGGGCTCCGTCATTCAGAAACAATGGTCAACAAAGTCAAATTTGGGGGTTTTACGTGCCAAACCAACGACGGGCATCTGGCACGCCCCAGCGGAGGACTGAGGATTAATTTGGACCACCTGGGGATCTTTTGACGTGCAACCGGAAGCTCGGTCACACGGCCCCTTCTCCGCAATAAGCCTCCGTCATATTGCGGGCACCTCGGTGTCGGGATACGAACCCGCCACCTGGGGATCCGTAGGCCGGCGCTCTCGCCTCGGAGCCACCGAGGCGGCTAGAAATGATGGGCTCATATATTTATTTCCTCTTATTTATTTATACATATATTTCGTTTGTGTGTTTTGAAGGTCCAGGAAATGGTCCAGAGACTCAAATATTGGTTGTCTGACGGGCGCCTCCTCATTAGATGCAATACTCTACAAGAGTTAGCTGTAGTAATGTTATTGGAATAGCCATAGTGAAGTACGTACACCTACGAACATCAGCGCTCTAAACCAACAAAGAAACAAAAACATAAGTTAAGAAGTTATATTCTCACAAATAATCATAGCTCTCGTTTTGGTTTATGCGAAATGAAACTACGTTTAGCGTGACAAAGTAAAAAAAAAAAACAAAAAAACTTTGAAATCAAAACAGTGTTCTTGAATTTTTTGTGACTTGAAACGGCAAAACGAGTGCAGCACAGTTTGAAGCATAGGCTGGAAAATAACAGAGGCTAAACTGTAAATAAAATAATTTAGGGATGCCTATGAAATACGACAACGTAGCAGAATGACTCACAATACGTGAAGTATATATATATATATATATAACAATGTTAAAAAGATAAAAGAACCAGAGAGACAGTAAAAATGCACGTAAGACAACAATAAAAAGAGTAAATATGTTTTCTGATTAAACTCGAGCTGACTAAAGAGTAGCATTTACTCTCATGAAGCCATTCCCTATTCCCTACAATATCCGCGAAGTGCTTATTTATTTCTTCAGTGAGGTCTTGACCGGTCAAATACGGCGGTCAGCAGTTCGTGTAGCTCTTGGTGGCGTCTCTCAGACGTGCCCTGAGGATCAGATCAGAAAACGTTTATTATATTGATTGGGTTCCACCACACCTCTTGACTGAAGTCATCTGGTATGACGGGGTAATTACGGAGAGATGAAGGGGTGAGGAGGAAGGAGGGGGGGGGGGGGGGTGTTGGATGAGGTGTGTGAAGTTCACTGCCTTAAGGCAGGTGAGTAGGAAGTCCAGGATCTTGATTCTATTTGCGTTTTCTTTGCGGGGGGTTACCCACTCTTTGTATGTTTGAGGTCGTGCATCTTCCGGAATGCTGAGGTGTGCGTCTTGTCTTAGTTGTTAGTTTGCTTGGCAGTCCCATATTAGATGATTACAAGTAGCCGGGGTTTTGCAAGTCTTGCCGTTAAAGTCGGTACCAGGGTCGTCTTCTTTGTGTAACCTATAAAATTTCCTTCTCAGCACAGGTGTTAGGGCTGTGTTGGTGGCGATGCGTCGAGTACATACCCTCCCCTACCTTGAGTAATTGGATGAAATAAAGTAAGCCTCTTCTGGCAGCAGCGATGCCAGTCGTTGTTTCCGAGCTGTCCTACTTGTCTCTTTCAGTTCATCGAGGTTCAGATCCTCTGGTTGGGTTGTGACGGGGGAGCCCTCGTGGCCTGATGCGGCGTGGGATGCTTGTAGCTCAATCCGCGCGGTCTCGTGGGCCTCCTCGTTTCCCGGGATTCCCTGGTGTCCCGGGATCCATACGATGTGCAAACTGTCTCTACTTAGGCGAAGGACCTTAGCTGTACATTTGATATCTTTCGCAATCTTATTCCTTCTGTCTGTCCTTCTGCACTCCTTGACTGCTTCGCTGGAGTCCGTTTAGACGTACGCGTATGCGGCCGGATTGCACTGAACCTGCTCTTCAAGGGGCCAGTGTACGGGCAATAGTTCAGCAGTTTTCGTGCTGCTGTTATTGAGCAGGTATTTGCTTTTTGATTCGCCGGTGCCAGCTGAGTGCATTGCTATGGCCGTGGTTCCGTCCTCGTTCTTCGCGGCGTCGGGGTAAATTACTTCCGCTGTTCCATGTTTAAGAATTGCCTCCAATTTTTTCCTGCGGAGTTTTGCTTTGCAGTCCCTGCGTTTTGGTTGGGTCCTGTTTTGATTCTTCGGTGTGGGCTTCAGGTCCACTACCGCCTCATCCTCCCAAGGAGGGTTCGGTGGTGCGATGTGGAGGCTCTGTTGCGGTGTCTTTCCAAGCATTTGGAGGATGATAAGGCCGGCGGGTAATCTTTTCAGTCTATCGAGTTGACTTCTCCTCGCTTCGTTTGCAATATCCTGGAGGGAGTTCATCTGAGCGGCGCTACTTCAATCCGTAAGTCTGGTATACTTGGGCAGCCCAGTAACCACTCTCATGGCTGAATGGTTAAGTATTTCCAGCTTTCTTACCTGGGTTATTGTTAGCCGGAGAAAATTGAACCCGTACATGACTCTGGTAATGAGCAACGCTCGTATCATATTCTTCAAGGCACTCTCGTTTGCTCCCCACGCCTTCTTAATCGTTCTCCTTATCAAATTGCGTCCCTGTTTCCAATGAGATCGCGTTTGTTTTACCCAGTTATGAGCGCCTCCGGTTTCATAAAAGGTTAGTTTAAAGGCACGACCACATTGGCGTCGCAGAGGCCTGCGGCGCGACGGTCCGTGCTGCCGGTTGCCGGTCAAAACCAATTTTCGGCTTCAACGGCGCGACGTACGGCACCGCAGAGCCAACCACTCCTTGCGCGGTTCAGAGCTCGCCGCCGCTCGCCACAGAAGAGAGGAGCCAATGGGAGGTGGCGTAGATAGTGACGTCGCGATGCCCTGGCAACGCTCAAAACGGTCTTTCGCGCGTCTTTCAGGTTCCGAAGGACGTGCTTCGTGTCGTCTGCTATCCCTATTTCACCCCCCCCCCCCCCCCCTCCCATGCCTTCCGCAACGGAGCGGTTCTTTAAAACTGTGCGACTGTTTCCCTTTTTATATGACAAGACGCAGCCAGACTACCTTGACGCTAAGAAAAATCGCTGGGAAATTATAGGAAAAGTGAGTTTCTCCGTGGCACTTGTTGCATGTCATTTGTGTTGTGACGGATGTCGTGTTGATTTGGTGACACTTCCGAAAGTAGCCTTCTACTCTGGCGCGCCGCCGGGGCAGCAAAGCACTGACCTGTCCTTCGGTGTTTCAGTAGAACCAACTCGGCCGGGCCCAAAACCTCCGGCTCCCTCCCTTCAGAGCGCGGCGACGTCGCAAGATCAACGAGCAGGCTAGGATAATCACATTCACGCTGATCACCAGGTCATCATGGACGCCTACCATGTAAGCAGCGAGTGCGGTTTCGATGCTGATATATGCGAATGATGAGAGCCAAAACGGAAGAATCTAACGAAGAGCAGACGTTGAAAGAGCGGAAAATCCGACGGGAGGCGCGCGCACGCTCGCGAGATCCAGTGCTGTCACGCGACGCCCTCAAAACAAAGGCCAATGTAGACTCCTCGCGTTTGGACGCCGGACGGCGGTGCCGCCCGGCGGCGCCGCCCGGCAGCGCCGATCACGGTAGTGTGGTCAGGCCTTAAAAATATTTATGCTAAGCTTTCTCTCGACCCCCGTTCTTTCAATCTGCAAGCCGATGGTCTCCCCGATGTTCTGCTGCCTGGCATTTTTGCTTGCAACAACCATATAGTTGGTCTTTTCAAACTAGATCTTCATCCCGGTTTTTTTAAGGAACCCAACGGTGACGTAAAGTGCCTTTTGCAAGTGTTCCTCTTGGGTTTTATCTTCCCCTGTTGCCGTCCAGATAGCAATACCGTCGGCGTAGATTGTGAAATTTACTTCTGCTGCTTTTCTCTCTAGTGCTAGAGCGAGGTCCGTCATGGCCATGTTGAACAACGTGGGGGAGATAACGGCCCCCTGGGGTGCTCTAACCGCATTATTTGAGATCGTTCATTGGTGCTGGCCATGTGAACACTGTAAGCCCTGCAAGAAGGACTTTCTAAAATTTAAGCCTGCCTCGGATGCCCCTTTTCTCGGCTGCTTTTATGACCGTTTCACGCGGTCATAAAGATCTGCCCCGGATGCCCCTTTTCTCGGCTGCTTTTATGACCGTTTCATGCGGTATGGAATCAAGTGCCTTTTTAATGCCAATTGCCACGATGGTACGGGGTTGTCCTTTTGGGGGAGTAGATGTTATGTCTCGGTGTATCATAGCCAAGCTGTCCTGCGTTGAGAGGCCTTGCCTAAATCCTGTTTGCATAAGGTGCAGTCTACTTCGTGTTTCTAGGAGCCGTGTAATATAGGCCAAAACCATTCTCTCTATTATTTTACATAGCTTTGAGGTGAAAGAAATTGTTCTTAGGTTTCCGATATCTTTGGCTGGCTTGCCGGGTTTGAGATTACTGTGGAGTATTTCCACTCTCTGGGTAGGGTGCCTTGTTCCCAAATTTGATTGTACCATTCCAAAAGTTGCTCCTGTTCTTTTTCTGGGAGGTTATTTATAGCGGCAATAGTTACATGGTGGCGCCCGGTGCTGTGTTGCATTTGGCTGTGGCTATGGCCGCCAGCAGTTCCCCCTTGTTAAAAGGAGCGTCTTCTGGTGCTTGGTCGTCCGTTTGCGATCTTTCGTAGCAGGTGCTTAGGAGGGAAGTGGTGGGCTGCGGTAAGAAGCTGTTTCTGGCTTGAATTGTTAACTCAGCTTCTGATATTTCAAGTTTTAGAGCCAGGTTGGCTCCCATCCCTCTGCTTTTAATCTTTCCGCACATTCCTTTGTACGTGCGCCATGCTTTTCCTAGCCCGTCTTCTCGTTGAAGGATCCACAGTGCGTTTGCCATTTTAGCCGACTAAGCTCCAGTGTGTATCTCTTTGCTCGAGCCGTAGCAAGATTGAGTTTGATTTTGAGTTTTTTGTCTCGTTTCTTTTTTCTGTACCGTTGTAGAGCTTGAAGGCGGCTGGCCCATAGGTTAAGTAGATGCAGGTCTGGCACGGGTGTGTCTTCTCGTACTCGGTACTCATCTTTTGCGGCGGCCATGGTCAACTGTATTCTGCGTGTTAGGTCTTCTGTGCTGCTCTCTCCTAGTAGCGTTCGGAACCTATCCCATCTAATAAAGTGGACCTTCTTTCTCGCACAAACGTTGATGTGCATTTTGATACTGATGGGAAGTTGGTCGCTTTCCATGGGGTCCGGCTTAGTGTGCCAGGTCAACCTTAGGTTCCTGGTTGGCCATGTTAAGTCCGGTGTTGTATCCGCTTCCCTTGGGTTAAGTCCTAGCCTGTTTGGTTAATCGGGCTCATTCCTGAGAAGAACCCTAGCTCTTCGCACTTGCCGTTTGGGCTTTTTCCGCGTTGATTTTCTCGCTTACATCCTCATGTTGTGTGTTGGGCGTTAAAATTGCCGGCCACCAGCGTAGGCTTATTGCCGTGTTTTGCGTCATCTAACCATGACATGTCATTTCCTTCCCGTCTGTGCGGTTTGATATAGGTATTTAAGATTCTACATTCCTTATCCCTTATTCGTACTTTGACACCCACAACTTCCTGCGTGTTGTTGCAGAGATGTTGTGTGTCAATTGAGTTGTGCCTGGGAAATGTCTTTACTTATCAGTGTTGCTACTGTAGGCATGGGGTTCTCTGGTGTATCACGGTCGGTGTTGGCGGCGGTTTGCGTGTAGGTGTTGTAACCTCTAATTTCGATCGAATCTGTTTTTGTTTCTTGCAGCACGATGACAAGCGGTTTGTTGTCATCCATTTTGTCCAGTATTTCCTTGAATTCTGCTTGCTTTTGTCGAAAGGTTTGGCAATTCCACTGTAAGACCCATGGAGTCTTTATACTTTTAGACCTTCGCGTACGGGTCCTATTTGTGTCTTGGTCGGTTCATAGCATGTAGGGCCTACAGAGTGCAGTCCAGTATATTTTTCATATTTTTTGCTTTTTAATCCAGTGACGGCATTTTCTGCGTGACGCTGCTGTTCTGTAGCATTTGTGTCGCCATCGCAGTCGGTTCGACGTGATATAGAGATGTCCCAATTGACGCCGGATCGGGTGCTTGTCAGTTTGGTCCTAGCGTGAGGGAAGCAGCCCGGTCCCCTCTTGTTTCAGGCTTGGAACTGTCTTCAGTTCCATCGTTCGATGCTCTGGATGGTGGTGGAGGGCCGTTCAAAGATGGCCTTGGTGTTAGTAATTTTCTCGGCTGTGGACGCCTTGGCGACATCTGCCTTTTGGGGCAATCGTTGCTAGTTGCGACGTGCGGGCCCCCGCAGCTAAACATTTCGGCAGCAATTCGCAGCCTTCTGCGTCCCCATGAATGTGGCCACAGTTGCCGCACCTTTTTGTGTCGGGGGAGAGGGGGGTGGGGGCACACATCGGACTTATGACCAATGCGGTGGTTTGATTAGCATACTACCGGTCTGGGTCTGTACCCCATTATATTGAACACTTCACATATGAAACGCACATGCCTCGGAATTCTCTCATCTTCGAAAGTAACCAATACCGCCTTCCCAGACCTTCCTATAATCATAGCTGTCACAATGTTGTTTGTGCGACAGTCTAATCCCTCAGTCAGTGATTTTGGTGTTTCATTCAGGTTTTCGCCATGCACGTATATGACTCCCCTCACTTGGTTGTTGAAGACGCCATGTACGGTTTCATCTTATACTTTTTGTCTGCTTTTGCTACCGCTTTAATGTTTAGTAGCTTGCTCGTGAGCCGAGGGTTTCTAGTTGTGATTGCGATAGTATATGACTTCTCGTTGAGGTGAATTGTGAAACAGTCCGTTTTCTGGATGCCGGCTTTCTCCGTCGTGCGGTAGATGTCTCGTCCGGTGGAGGTGTAAACCTTCTCCTTGCAGGTAAGTTTCAGCACCACTGTCTGAGTTGGGGACCTCCTCGCACCTACAGGGGCTTTTCTCTGTTTTGTAGGCAAGGTGATTCGTTTGCATGGATGGGATAGTAGTAGTGGCCATTCTTCGTCGTCATCACTCGATCTGGTTCAAGTCGTTTGTACATGCTGTATTTGTTTCTTGTGTACCGGCATCCGTCTGCTTCTGCCGTAAAGCGGAGGGCAGGTTGCGATTCAAAAGAAACTCTTCGTAGTCTTTCTTAAGTCTGGAATGCTCCCGAAACAAATCCTTTTGCGTGAGCACCTGTACTAGGAACTCTTAGTTCATCATGAATTCTTCAAATGTTTCACGTTGTTTCGTACAGTTCGTTAATAACTGGCTGTCTTGTTGGGACATCTGATGGTAAATGAGCTGACCTGTAACGGCTGGTGGACTGCTGTTGCCTTGAGAATGACTCACAAGAGTCGGATGAAGGTTCGCCGTCGTCTGGCTTATGGAATGAGTCCTTGCACCGCGGAGCTTGCTACTTGGTGTTTTCACTATGGTCCCGGGAAAATCTAGGGGGCCGTTGCCTAGAGCCTCCAGATAGGTATATGAGTCTTCAGTTTGCCGGTCCAGGGTTCCAAGCTGCGGCCCCTTGGTGGGGCTGCTTTCTTTTGCGCCAAGATTTGCGAAAATTATCGAACTAGTTAGTTAGACGAGAGATAGGAATGGGTGCTTTGTATTCCAAATCGTGCTCTGGGGAGGTTTCGAAAATCGCCTAAAGATGTCGATAACTCACTATGTGGGCTTTAAGCATCCTAAAAATCTATAAATTATAACGATGCGCGGTGGAATTTTCTATTCAAAAAGCAATCAAAAATCGAAATTATCTCCGGCGATGGTACGAGCGCTGTGCCGGCAGCCAGGACGGCATGTCATAATAAAAACACGACATTTCGTTTATATTTCAAACGCTGTTACTACAAAATGTGCATGATTTTGTAGATAATAAAAGCAAATAAGAGTTGTCAAAAATGTTTATTTTTCGCGGAGAGGGAATATAATACTTAAACAATCATCTAAAAAAGCGCACTATGTTTCTTTTTTTTATTTTTTAGTAATCTTTTGCGGGAGTGATGTGTTCGTTGTCCGCTCTCGAGCGCGCGCTCGCTCGGTTGAATCGTAGCCCGGATGTATGGGCAACGAGCCGCGCGCATTCGAGATATCCCTCCGCGGTTCCACCGGTCGGAGGTGCGAAGATCTTTCGCTTGATTTGGCAGACAGAGGTCCCAGATTCAAAACATGCTCATCACATCGCTGGAGATGACCTTAGTGTTCGATTACTTTTTAACAAGGAAATCAGCCACATATCGTCATAGTTTAGTGATTTCTAGGATGCTTCGAGCGGGCAGAGTGAGTTATCGCCATATTTAGGCGATCTCAAACACTGCATTAGGGCAGCCTTAACAGCATGCCATATATTTCACTGCATTACTGTATCTTCCTGAGGTTGTTGATCTTGTTTGCGGTAAATCGCTGACGATACTTCGAATTAGCTTTTTTTTTATATATTGGCAGTCGACTAGTTGTTGCAGATTTGAATTCAACAAACATATGAAGATTTCTAGGTTTCAAAAATATGTTGCACGCATTCTATTCTATAATAACTCGCTTAGGAAGGCTCTGGTTTATGTAGGGTTTTGAATGTTTTTATTTTCTGATTTCTCCTCAAACTTTCGAAGAGTTAATTGAAATGCATAAAATTCGCAACCTAGCTCGATTGCGCAACTATGATTTTTTTTTTTTTTATATTGTGTGATCTGTAGCAAATATTTCTTTGTCTCATTTTTACTTGGTATGACAAAGATAGCAAAGACAAAAGACAGTTTTAGAATAGCGCACGCTAAAGCTTTGCCTACGCAAAGAATAGCGTAGTTGCCACTACGCATGTGCCGAACGCTAACGTCGTTTTGCTCTTTGCGTGCGCTGTTTCTTAGAAACTGTGTGCGTATGTAAAGAGTTTTCGCGGACCTTCAAGGAGGATTCTTGACGAAAACTTCGCTAAAACCAAGACGAGCACAACTAAAAAAGGCGGCTCTTAGAACCATGGCTGCAGCCGCTTTGGCCCTGCTTTGGGGTGTCGTGAGCGCGACGTCGGTGGCATCCTCTCGACTGCTATCTTCAACGCACGACTACATTGCACTCCTGCGGGAGGTGCACAAAATAATATTTTGGAAGACCCAGTAAGGGTGCGCAAAGATCGCCGGCAACTTGCTGCCAGCGACGCGCAAACGTCTCTCGGCAAAGGTAGTACGGTGTGCGAAGGTCCCTTCACGAGACCTCTCTTGACGAGGCGACGCAATCGGACACGACCGGTCGACCACTCCCGTCGCATTCTCGTATTTAAACGAATCTAAAATCTTACTGGGAAGCAATAAACTTGTTTTTTCTTTCTCAAGTTACAGCAATTCGTGTGTGAAAAATAAAAAGGTTTTCTATATGTTTGTGGTGCTGCAAGCGGGGGATGCTCGGGCTTTTCTGTCGCGGCGCAGAAACGCTGTTCTAAAACAGTCCTGCGCAGCGTGCGCTAACGCTGGCACTAGGTTTAGCATTAGCGTGCGCTAAAATTGCGTGCGTTATTATAAAACTACCTAAAGTTTGAAACAAGTAAGCTTAACACTTATACCAAATAAATGCAATACATCTTTAAGTACCACGCAGTGACGAACACTCTGGTTACTTCCATACATTATTGCAGACAAAAAAAACTTTTTACCTGACGAAGAAAAATGTGTCCACAGCCAGCCATCCATTGTTGAAAAGCTGCGTGTTGTACTGGACCACGAGCTTCTTGGCCATTTTCGCCCCCGCTGAAACGAAGATGCACATTTGTTTGGTTTTGTTTTAGAATTTTGGTTAGATCCGATTGGTAGAAAAGGTTCGTGAAGATCAGATGCCATACAAGTGATCCAACTTTAGAACTTAAGCGTAATTCCTTTTAAAAAGACGTTCAATAACCTCTCACACGGAACTCAAAGTTTGCAACCAGGGTGCGAAACAAATCAAAGTGGATTAAATAATCATTACGTCACATTCCTTTCCTAGCTTTATGTGACTCGCACTGAATATTACTTAAAACCTGAGGGTGCAAAGTGAGTTTGTAAAGCTTAGACATATCGAAAGTAGCATGGACTACTTAAGGGAGTAAACAAAACAAAAATCACATTACGTGTTTATGTTGCCCCCTACGTTGTCACCTATGGTGAAAAGTCTCGGTACATTTTTCCATGGTTAATAAAAATATTTTATTTATATCTACAATCTTCAATGTTCGCTATGTTGATTACGCGCACTTATTTCTTACAGAGACCTAACCATTCTTAAGCGAGAAACATGTTCTTCAGGAACAAGCGAAAATCGTTTGTAATCCTCCGCTAATGAAAAAAAAAAAGTCGAATTAGACAATGAGTTTCTCCTTGCAATCCCTCACTTCGCTCGTTAGTCTAACGGAATTAAAAGGTTAAAAAAAAATTTTTTGACCGCGTATATTTCACACAAAAAAAAAATGGTTACGCAGACACTAATTACAGAAAAAAAGTGTTTGGGTACCCCAAGTACCGGTAGATAACTTATTATCGCGTAATTTTTTTTGGTGGTTTCGTCGAGCTTCGGCATATTTGCCGCTTGGGGCCAGTCGGGGGTCCACTAACGATGACGTCAAGCGCAGGACTTGTTTTCCAGGGGGTATAAAACTACGTCATAGTTCGAGGAATGCAAGTATTGAGGCCAGTAGATCGAAAGAAAAAAACTGTTACGTGACGGATGTTTTTTATGCTCCCATTCTAGCAGATGGAGCGCAAATGTACATCGCCATATATATTTGTCCCCAGCCACCTAATATAAGCGTATCCGGAATGGGCGATGAAAAAATATTAAAATATTTCAACCTGTATTTAGCAAAAAAATAGACGAGAATGTGTGTTATACCCTAAATGCCTTCTATCGGCGTGGCGGCGGCTAAACAATATTTTCGCCGATACTGGAAGTCACGAGATTTAAGATGGCTGCACCCTTACGAAGAAGGTTCTGACGTACTTCAGCTCCCGCAATCGAAACCGAAACTTATTACACGTTATTGTATTATTTACGGCGTTTTGGAAGTATTCTGCCTTGAGTGTCGTGATTAGTTATGACATACGCGTCATTTACGGCAAAACAACGCAACCCAAATTGTGACGCATACATGCCTGCCGAGAGCAAGCAAGGCGACGAGCGCGTGTGATTAAGCCTTAATGTCCCATCTGAGGTTCAAGGCTGGTCGACCCCCCTCCAACTGAAGCCGCTCCAAATGTATTGATTATGCGAGTCGAACTTGGCTAATGCTCAAAAACAAAAAGAAAACGGAAAGCCACAAGGTCCACGCGCAGAAATACACACAGTTGAACCTGTAGACATTGATTTATAATCTATGATTTGACTACGTTTGAGTATGTTAGCAGAACTTTTGTAGAAACAAAGTTGCAAGCTATCATGGAAACATGACGGACGTCGTAGCCAAGTTGCCGCTGCATTCCACTGTGAATTCAGCGGGCGAAGCGATCGAAATCGCCTCCCTGTACAATTATTATTATATTATTTTTTTTAACGGGGGCGATAAAAAAAATTGTTTTCTAGAAAAGGGGGTTTTTCCTTATAGACAATGTGCGAGCGCTGATTTGAGAGATTATAAAAAGAAATCTCCCCAAGTCATTAAAAAAGACATCTAATTCTGTTCACTACACGTACACATTTGCCTGAAACGATAAAATTTAATTAACAAAATAAGGCATTTCATTATTTCAATTACCCTGATCAATCACTTTGCCTTAAATCCGTAAAGAAAGTAAATAAAAAAAAAACAACGCCTGGGAATAAAACTGCCGACCCCATAGATCATTGTACTCGACTAAAGCAGTATTAATCTGACACCGCGAACAGATGCTAATAAAACCGCAGTTGGAGAAATCAACTTGAAATACATACTGAAACCTTGAAACCTATTTCCAGGAGCTTACGATTTGCTCAGAACTTACAGTACACAGAAATATCGTTGTAGGCGTAGTGGTGAACCCACACCACCCAGATGATGCTCAGTGCCCGGAGTCCGTGAAACACCTGAAGGCGCCGCGAATCCTCGTCCTTGGGCGCACGCACCACCAGAAGTTTTCGAGCCGTCTCGTACGCCGACAGAGAGGAAAGCCTCTGTATGGCTGAGCCTGAAGCACGTAAAGAGCAAGACACGAAGCAATACAGTTTTTTCGGTGGCAATAATGCCAGTGTGCACCTCGCTCAATCGCGTTGCTACAAAACGCCGTGCATTAAGAATAATTCTAACTATCGATGCGGACGAAGGGGATAAAAACCTAGGAATGTATTTCCAAAATTAATAATTTTCTGGATATCATCGTACATTAAAAAAACGTAGTTTAAAAAAGTGAATTTAGGGCAAGTGACATAATCGCCTGTCCCGTCGGAAATACTATGAAAATCGTCAACTTCAAATTGTTTGAGCGTGAACATAAACAAGAATGAACAAGCTGCACAGACAGGAAATGTTGTTTTTTTTTCCACAAGATGATCACCAAAGCCAGACAAAATCGAGGCAAAATGTCAATATATTAGACAAGAAACGTTAGACGAGTTTTGTTTTCACTCTGCAGGTGGACACTAGATGTGATGATAATCGTAACGATAAGTTGTCTAATTTCCTACGATTTCTTATTTAACATTTTAATTATTGGTTTTAATGGTCATGTTAAAATTGCAGTATTCGCGACAATTACTATTAGAGGCCAGAAGAATTTAAAGCATTTGCGAACATGTAATCGTTTTAGAGGTATGAAGGGATCAATTTTCACGTTTTTTCGCCCATAATTATAAATAACACTAAAAAGATCGTCGCAAGGCCTGCCCACAATACAACTTGGAAGAGTGGCGCTGTTGTTTCAATTATGTCGTCACTATCTCGCCAGTGTGTTCTTGGTGGGTGTACCGACAACACAGACGACCACGTGACTGTTACGATTACGTCACTCTTCTAAGAGTCATTGTGGAAAGGGCTTGCAGCGCTCTTTTTGTGAGACATTTTTTTTCAATCGTGCGAAATAAAGCAAAAATTAATCGATTAATATCTAAGAAAAACATTATAGTTTCTCAATTTTTTTAATTGGTCTGACCTCAAATACTACGTACTGTCAATCCTTTAATCCCAACATGACCAAAAAACAATATTAAAAAGGTAATTAGGAGATATTAGTTAGTCAACTAACCGTGACTCTCATCTAACGACCGCCAAGCCTCATAAATATATGGTGAGGACGGCCCTCAACGAACTTTCTTATAATAAATTTTGTCGAATTAAAAGCAAACACCCTGTATGTCGGAGCACTATATGTCTCCACCACTGGAAGCATGGGTGTGCTTACCATGCTTGGGAGGGCACTTCGAGAAGGCATCCCATATAAATATACTTGTTTGGAGCAACGTTGACAACACCACGGGAAGGGACAAGCAGCTTAAAATGCAACTGAAACAAAACAAAAAAAAATAATCTGAACACGACGTTAACGTTTGAGTATCATCGTGGCCCAGTTCCACGGGAAGCGTAAAAAAGACATCACTGCTCGACGACCGAACATCAGCTGCTGTAAGTCGATCACAAAACAACATTCACTAATGCCATTCGCCAGCCAACTCTGCCTGTCACCAATTCGTAATGCTCAAGCAACAAAAAAAAAAAAAAAAAAAGTTCGCTAATATTGTGAGAATTGAAGACACAAAACAGCTGGTGGGGATTTGATATTTTTAAAACCGGCGATAAGGAAACAAAACCTCAAATGTTGTTGTCACGTCAAAACTCGTGTGTGCATGCGCGGATGTTAGGTTCGTGTGACGTCCCCTAATAAAGCGTACACTGTGCGACTCCGTTAACGCAAACAAGGGATCACCGTGATTCGTAGTTTTTTCTCCCTCAGATTTGAAAGTGTGCCTCTAAAGCTACTGCAGTAAAGGAAAGTAGTCACTTGGGTCCCTAAAGCAAGCTGTAAACTTTGGTGGCCCCGAATACCCTTCGAGGTAACGTGCAAAAAAGCGCCAATGTCGTGTTCGTGCTGACAGTGTCACGCAGTCTACAGTTGACGTTTGATTACCCGCAATAGGGTTCGCTACAATTTAATCAGCCGAATATAGCCTTCATGGAAGACAAAATATGCATCTGGACGCAATCTGCGACGGAGCACCACAAACACTTAGCCCCGGTTGTTTTATTTTTTTACGCTCCTACGTTTATTTAGCGTCGAATCCACGTGCTCGTATGATCTGTAACCGCCACCAAACCTCAACACTGTGAAATAAGTAACTAACTTTCTGCAACGCGACGATTTAACCTAAACCAGCCTTTCTATTCACGTGTCGGGTGGCCTTGCTGTACATCCCTGCAGACGGCTTGTCCTTTACCCTGACTTCAACGGCATGCGCAGCTTCCCTGATAGCAATTTTTATTCAATGAGTACTGAGTTCTCGCAACCGGACGCATCCCTGCGACGTTCAGGCGTCGAGATACCGTCGTTGGAGTGGTATGGGTGTTTACCTCGTAGTGCAACTGACTTGTCTTGAAGATAAGCAGGTATTTTGTCCTAACTCAATTGTGATATTTTCCATTAAAAAAAGGAGGCTTTATACGTGTATAATATGTCTACTAAACATATCAAAACCTAGGTAGATTACATAAAGTTTATATAAGTCGTCATATTGTCTTATATTATTTTACGGGTTTATGGGACACCTATTTATTTTCCAGGGTTACGAATGTCAACAGCGTTGAGGTTCATCTAATGACCAACAATAATAAAAAAAAAAAGACCGCGTAAAAAAGAAAGGTCGTCCACAAAACGTTGCATTGAAAAATAAGCTTCGTGGCCGAATTTAAAAACTCTCAGTGTTTCGTCTCCATACTTTCTTCGTGGGTCCCAGCCATTCCAAATGATAAAATAGCTATATTTGCATTTAAGTAAGTAATGTTCATTGAACATTTACCTACAGATGCTTTGTTCGTTGTCACATCAAGAAAAAAGAAAGTTTTGAGCATTATTCTAAGGCTGCGTGAAGTACTTCTTAAAACATTTTGGTATCGAAGGAAGTATTAATGCTTTTGGCGTTTGAAACGTGTAAGTATTGATAAAACAACATAAAACTAATCTTAGATACAAACTACCGGGTGTCTGAAATAGTGGCCAGGCTCTTTAAATCAGCAGCAAAAATCGGTTTCTTAACCTATCGCGCTACGATGTTGTGCAGCATTGTCCACAAGTGGTGCATTTTTCCTTAAATAAATTGCAAAGAGCGAGCTTACAGGAGAAAAAAGGAAAAAAAGAAAAAGGCTTAACTCGTATGGAAACGCAGTCACCGATCTTCAAACAATAGGGCGCCCTATTGTTTAAAAACCGGTGGCTTCGCTGCGTTTACATGGGAGTTTAGACTTTTTCTTTTATTACATTTTCCTCAGGTAAGTTCGCTCTTTGCAAATTTTATAGAAAAAAATTCACCACCTCTGGGCAACGCTGCACAAAATCGTAGCACGATAGGGTAAGAAATCGATCTGTGCAGTCAATTTAAAGAGCCTGGCCGCTATTTGAGACAGCCGGAACGTACATCTTGCAACAAAGTTGTTTCTTTCTTCTTACCTGTTTTTTTTAAACCGACTATCATCAACCATGTTTACATATATCTTACTTGAACACATAATGGGGAAAATGAGCTTCGTTCTGCGAGGAGCCAGAATTTATTTACCATGGTTCTTGAAGTGAATGCGAGCATAGGTATTTAGTACTTACTGAATTAAACATAGCTTCTGAACTGTTAACAATATTAAGAGAGCACAGCGCAAAACAAGAAAATGTCAGCCCCACTTACACTATAACAATGTCTTGCGTTGTGAAGTGAGGCTTCTCGTTGATGGTACAGTAGCTCACAACAGCAGACCAGTGCATGGTGTGGAACACTGTTTCACGGCAAAGGTATCACCCATAGGTCATTTGTAAAAACCTTAGGAGTTTGCTTCATTTTATGCTCGGACGAAGCCGAAACCACATGCACAAGCATGTTGCCCCGAACGATGCTTGCACCACATGAACACACGTGTTTGACAGGGACGCTGAAAGCCTGGAGTTCCCCCTCCTAGCTTCTGCTAAGATCTCACTTAAAATTATGTCTGAGATAAAGGCGTAGCGAAATCGCAGTTGAAAGGCCCTTCTATATCAAAAACGTTTTCTACAATTGTCAGCGTTCTTCGCTTCAGAGAGACATCAGCTTTGTGGTAATGCCAGTGTTTTAAGACGTTTTTTTAGCAGAACTATTCGTTAGTTCGTGGTACATTTTTTAGCAGGGTTGCACATCCTTCATTAGTACGCTCCCTCTAAATATAGATGAAAGCTTCATGTTTAATATATTCCCCCAATCACAACCAAGAACGTACCAGCTTCAGTACCAGGGTTTCGTTTTCTCGAGTTTAAATTTTATTTTCATTAACTCAACGCGATTAACGTCTACATCACGAGATTCCAAGCACTTTATCGACATCTGCATGATGTTTTATTCGAATGATCGATATGCTTACCAGCGATGACACTATCCTTGGTCTCGTCCTTACTTGGTCACCCAACCTCGCTGAATCTACTATTCACATACGTTGCCTTTGTGATTAGAAATAATCAATATCTTGTTGGTTGTACCGGTGCCACGCGTGTCTAAGGTTATCCGTAATTTAAGGAGAGCAAAATAGGCTAGTTTATATAATTAGGTTGCAATCTTGTTGTCGTTCTTTCTTTTCTTGTAATCCTCAATCCTTAAGATTGAAAAGAGAACACAAGTGGCGCTGAGATTTAATCAATACCGTCCAGCGGACGCTGCAAACATCTACAAACAAGGCAATTGAAACACCAACAAAGGACGCTGCACACACTCAGCCACTGGGTAACATTTGAACGTACCGCCTTTGACGATGCTTTCGACGTCTTGCTTGGAACATGACGATGGCATGCATAGTCCCGTCCTTGTGGTGGTTGCGTAGAAGGTTCCAGCATCCTCGAGCAACTCTCGAATTACCTGGACGTAAAATTTAGCGTAGGTTATGCCAATTTACGGTGGCCTCCCTTTACGGGACAGCCTGTACAGTTTTGACGTATTACGTGTTTATGGCCTGGACTTAGCACGTATCCGCAACATGTTACTCGGCGAGGCATTGAGCCTGATCTATGACGTTCGCCACTAAATCTGCCGGGAAAACTTCCCCGCTTAGTTTTGTAAAAATATTGTAAAAACAAAAATTGCAATGTAAATAAGAAAAAAAAACTTCCTGATTTAATTTGGTTCAAATAAATAAAATAAAAAAGCACAGGTGGGCCTCTGCCGAATGTTTACTTTCCAATGACATTCTATGTTAGCTCTTTCTTCATCAAGGAGTCCCGTTTGTTTGTATACACCCTAACTTCGCCAAGTCATCAGCGTTCTCAGATACTTTAAAGCAGACTTGTGCCTATCTCAAATGCTCTACTAAAGATACTGTATTTCAAATACTTTTGAAGTATCTTGGTATCTTGCAAATACTTTTGATTGAGAGTATTTGATGCTCTATTTTAATTACAATTTCGAGTATCTTGTACGCATTATCTCAAATACATTTTTGACATTCCGCCATTTTCCGAGCTTTTCGGTATGAAGTGAGTGGGCGTGGCACGAGCAAGCGGGAACATTCTTTCGAGTGGTGGACGCCTCTGGAAACCAAATCCTGTTGTTAGCTCCGATTAGCTACGGTGACTTTGACTGAGCTCGTGAAAACATCGCTTTTTTGCCAATTGTGACTCATATTTCAGCTGAAAGTTCGTACAATGCAGGTTTTTCCTTCGCCTGCCCAAAGGCGCCTTTTGTTTTAATAAAGTTTCCCCCGCCCCCCCCCCCCCCCCCCGAAAAAAAAAATTTCAAACAAAAGGTGTAGTTTTACGGAAGTAAAGATGCCACCCTGAGGCGCAACGCAGACCTGGAAACGACCTACGACAACAATGCAGACTTGAGTGTCAAGAAAATAACAAATAGACAAAATGAGAACTAGACACACACACAAAAAAAGAAGACATTTTTAGAAATAATATAGTAAGTGTATTAAAACTTGTTGTTGGCCTAGTTGGTTCATGATGCAGCCTAGAAGTTTTTTGCGCGACACAAGGAACAATCACAAGCGAGTAGACACGGACAAGTGCAACAAGTGTACAGGCAAGCTGGTGAATGCTAACCATGTTCAATAACGCGAGACTGGGGCATTTTTGTTTTGCTTTTTGTATATTTGACCCCGCTAGGGCAAAACGTCGAGGTTTTTTGTTTCTTTTCTTTTTATTGTCAGTCCGTCACGATTGCTCTCGCGAACATTGAGAAGCAGAGAACAGTTCAGAAAACGAACTACGAGCTGGATGACCTCTCAAAATGCCAACAAAGTGTCCCCCAACGTTGAGTGCCTTTCTGAACGCAACCTACTTGAACAAGGTGCGACCACTGCCGTGGCTATTATGTGGGTTCTCTTTGTTATCCATTCACTCATATCCGTATCCCAAGTTCGTTTATAGTGAACTCCATATATAGGGAATATGGATTGTAGTTAAACGATGCGTCTAAGCCTGGTGCGCCGCAGGACATGATATTCAGCGATGTCACTATAGGCGAGGCGCTCTGACCCCCCGTTTGTCACCCCCTCCCCCCCCACCTCGGTGTGGGGGGGAGGGGGGTGATACAACACAACGCCTGTGCACCTGCCCTCAGGCCTTGTGGGCATGTTCATGTCATTTTTTTTAATAGAGCTCGGGGCAGAGTGTAATGTACAAATACCAACAATTAGTGAAGTGACGTTAAGTGCCGGATCTCTCCCGAAAGTAGTCGTCAGAGGATGCGAGCTGGACCCACTTCAGCTTTTATGCTGAGCTGGGCACCGTGCATGCAGCATTGTTCATGCAGGCCGGAGTAGTAACAAAAGAGCCCCTCCAACCCTCACCGGAAAGCACGAACTCAAGCCGAACGCTGACGCCGTGACAGCACTGAGTCATTGTATTTGTTGTCTCCATCCATTTAGTTCTAAAATTAACCGCTTAGGGCGCCACGGTTCCATCTCCTCCCCAATAGCTAAAGCGACCCCTTTCTTGTTGTCTCAGAAATGTTTTGTAACATCTATCAATGATATTGCCACGCGCGACGGCAAGCAAGCGCGTGGCCGAATGGTTACCGCGCTTGACACTCGCGCGTAGGCTCCGAGTTTGATACCAGGGAGGGGACTCCGCTTTTATTTATACTTTCAACTTGACATTCTCGTAAGTTCTAGAACCTTGTCGTCTCATCGAGTTACGAATGTTCTGCGCACTGAACATTCTACGCCAGATGTTCCAGAAACCCATGCGGGTACAAAAGGTGTTACGAGTCGCGGTTCGGAGTCAGTCTCGCCCCAGTCTATCCTGCAGTTTCGCCGACATCGATGCCTGCGACGCTAGCCTTTCTCTATTTTGTTTTGGGCACAAGTTCGCCCCATTAAACGTTTGATTTCTTTGAGTTATTCGCCGCCTCATCATTTGTCACTCGTGACAATATCCTGCTCCTTATAGTTGGACTGCCTATAATATCCCTACGATACTTTTTTTTTCTTCTTTTCGTTTTGAGTTGTTGCGTGCTAATGAACCATTCTGGTAACCCAGATTAGCGCAGCCGTATAATTGCCGTTGTCACTGACGTCGATACAAATTACGCAATGCGGAAGTGTCTTCAGAAGTAATTGAAATACATTTCTAAGTATTTGTACTCTACTCAAGATACTTTACAGTGAAAATGACTTGAGTAGTATTTTAAATACTTCATGAAGCAGGTATTTAGTAACTTAAATACTTTTATCGAGTATTTTGTCGAACACTGTTTTAAAGGCCCTGGTTTTGAAGGCCTTTGAAATGCTCGTGGAACAGGAGTGTTTTTTTTTTATAAATGTATGTTCTTTATGATTTGATTATATTAGTTTGCACACGTATGAACGCATGTTTTTTTATTTTTTAGAACACACACAATTACTGGAAATGTGTTTGTATGGCGGGAAAAACGGTCGTATTGCCCCTCTTTCTTGTATAAGATGTTGTCTTGCACTGCCCAAATTTGTTTGAAAATAGGTACAGCAATATAGTGCCGTAATTTGGAATTATAACTTTTCCTTTCATTCCTTATTTATTCCAGCAATATGTATTAGGCAGATCCATCGTTTAGTTTGAATGCCATTTCCAGGTAAAAGGGACATCGCTGCAGGTCCCCGAAAGCTTCCTCAGCCCCCGAACTCTGTACAGCTCGTTAGCGTAACAACTGAAGCAACAGCAAGCGTTTCATTGCTGTCCAGTAAAAGATGTTGTACTAGCAGCAGAAAATGTAGAACCTGTAAAGAATAACCAACTACATAAAAAGTTTTTTTTTAATTTTAGTCTTAGAACAATTTGATTTTGCTAAAATCTTAATTTTACAGCCTTTAAAGGGTAAATTGTTGAGAACGGACTAATACCGGGCTAGACACCTTCACTTACGTTTGGTGTACATTAAATGAGAGTTATTATAAAGACCTCCTCAGATACCAACAGTGGAGTCAATGGAAATATTGTCCAAATTCAGCCAATGTCAAATGCGAGCAATGTAAAGAGATCTAAAGAAGAACCTAGAATATGGCTGCGTTTCCCTTATTTCTTTAGCTTGCCCTTGTACTTGGGCTGTCTCACTTTTAATTATCTCTCCATGGCCCAGAATATATTTAACATGTTGCTCGAGTAGCATGGAGCTTTTCTGCTTCGGCGTTTTTGTTTAGAAATAGATATAAAAAAGAAGAAGCGAAATAGTATACAGAACTTGTCAATTCAATCAGATTATCAGCAGTATTGATTGTGAAATATGTAAATCTATGGTGTTGCTCCTGCGAGTGTTGCCACATTACTTCCTTTCCGTATTCCAACTGTGGTCCAAGCGCTGCCTACCCTGTCAACCATGCCCGAAATGTTGGTTAAAGTTCCACCTCCAGCCTCCAGGCCATGCCTCAATAAAACCAGATATAAATATGTACACTTCCTACGAGAAACGCACACAGAAAAGAAAATTAAAACGACCGTACCGACCGCTAACGTCGTCACAGCCTCAGCAAGGCGAGCAGGGCGAGTCAGGCGTCACGTCACCCCGGTTCGCTGTAAGGGGGCGCCACACAAACTTGTTGGTACAGGTGGCGTAAGCTACCGCCCGATCCAAAGGGCTCAGCCGTATTCATCCATCCATCCATCAGTCCCGAGAAAAGAGAACTCTGTTTTTTGGGCCGGGTAAATAAACTATGCATCGCAGAATGCTCAAACCGAAGAAGCGTTTCTCTCAGGCCTTGGTTTGAGTGCATGGGAACAGACGCTGTAGCATCAGTGTGTTTTGTTTACAGCGACTGCGGCGTCTGCCTTCCACGGAGGCATCTGCATTCCACGAGATCGCGAGGCAATATCCGATCCTGAACGGATGTGTAGTCTGTTGTGTATGCGTCGCCTGCGAGTAAGAAAATCCCCTACTAGACGCCTTAAATTCTAGAACGGTTGGTATAGAATGCGAATGTTTGAGAACATTACGTTACCTGGATCCAGACTTGTACCGTACGCATTACAAGTAATCAAATTACTTGTAATCAATTACTCTTTCGAGTAATTTTGTAATCAGTTAATTACTTTTATTAGGCAATAATCACAAGAGTAATCTGATTAATTTTTGAAGTAATAAAATTATTTGTAACCGTTACAATTTGTCCACGGGACCCCCCCCCCCCCCCCCGGCACACGCCTTTTTTTTATGAAATGGCAAAAATAAAATTTGCTTTTTTTTTTTTTTTTTGAACGGAAAAAAGAAAGATTTTTGCGGAGCTGTAGGAAACGAGGTCAATCTCTTTCTATGTACAGCTTCTGTAAAATGACCTTTTCTTTTTTTTTTTTTTTCGAGCTGGGATTAGGAGTGAGAAGCCCCAGGGAAGCCACAGTGCGTGACAAAGGCCATTCAGGGCGAAGCTTGAGGAAGCAGAATGTAGCTTTGTGAGTCCCTCGTTCAAACTAGCCCAGTCACGCACACACACACAGAAATAAAAAAAAACTGCTTAGGGTACCTACTCGCAGCCCGTAGGAGAACCAGAACCGAAGAATGCCTAAAGCGGATGCAAAATATAACAAAGGCAGTTGAAATATTTCCCCATTTCCCTTACGTGGTCTTTGTAACAAGCAGTGTTTCGAGTTGAGAAGTGGTCGGGGCGATCTCTTCCGCTAATGGACACTACACATGATCTGTTTCAAATCCTGGAGCTGCTGCTCTTTTGTATAACATGCGAGCTCATCCACATGTGAATAATAAAATGAGCGACGCAAACTTTGAGCGACAACCTTTGCTCAAGCTTAACAAGATCTAGAACCCCCTCCGCCCCCCCCCCCCCCCCCCCCCACACACACACACACTGGCGAACGCCCAAATCATTAAACGTCTTTAAAGGGGCCCTGCAATCATATTTGAGCGTCTACCTCTTTTGCGGTTTTCACGTCTCTTGGGGTTCGGGCAAGCCAGCGGGCACGGAGAGAGTAACGAAATATCAGTGCGTCATATTTTAACCGGACGACGCGGAAACCTCCTCCACCGACGAGGGCGACCCGCGGTACCGAAAACGCGCAAAATATGACGTCTTTGGTCCTGGGCTCACTACTGGTCAGAGCCGCTAAAAGCTTATTTTTAGTCGAAATACAAAATATAAGTGGCGCGAACCGTTTCAATTATTTATAAAAGTAGTTTTTGTTCAGTATTTTAGATCAAGAAAGAAACGAATGCAGTTCATAAAGTACGGAAACAAGAAATGACCAGTCGACATACTCGCCACCAAGCGGTTGAAAAGGCGGCGCATACTAGAAAGGAGTAGTGGGATCAGGCGCCGACACGGAAAGGTCCCGGATGTACGCGGCGGCGCTGCGGTCGTATGGGCAGGAGGATCCGACCGGCTCCGAGCGTTCCGAAGGCCTTCGGCGAGAAGCTTTGTCTTACGGTTCGGCCGTTTCGCGGTATGGCAGCGCAAAGTAGCTCCCATTGTGAACTGATCTCTACCCCGTGTTTGCTGTCGTTTGTGGCCAATGAAGTGTCATGCCGAATTAGTATATAATCGTGCAGCAAATGCAATGAGAGCCGCTCTGGCTGCCCGCTGCATACAGCCTATCCACAACACGCTTCAGTGGCGCCCTCTCGCGCCGTCGACACGAGTGCGGCAGCCGTGAGCGCTCGATGAGCTCACTACTTCTCCTTGAGTTCATGGCCACTCTCAAGCAACTAAGGACGTCACGAGGGGGGTTGTTTCTTGCTTGTTTTTGTAATTTTCATTTGCCTATAACTTTTAAAATAAAGCGAATTTCGAGAAAAGAAAAGTTTCACTAAGTTACTACGTTCAGTGCGCTCAGGTTCGGTGCAAATTAAAAATTAGTAAAAAAGTCATTGCAGGGCCCCTTTAAACGAATTCTATGCTTGTGTCCGCATTGTGAAGGTGCAACGACCACGAAGAGGGAGCCAGTTTTTCTTCTTCAATACTTGTGCAAATGTGAAATATAGGTTGGAAGTAGTTCATTGTCATGAGCGCTAAAGATGTGTCTTCACACAATAAAGTAATCAGAAAAGTAACGATTACTTCTTTAAGTAATGTCCAATTACTTTTGCCGTCGAGTAATCAAGTAATCTAATCGAATACTTTTTAGCCAAAATTAATAGTAATTGTAATCGATTTCTTTTTTTAGTAACGTGTACAAGACTGCCTGGATCAAAAGGTAATTAAGAAAAACGAACTTTATGAGCCGACGTCCACCTTAGCCTAACTTCGTCAAAACAATAAATGCCATTTTGGGCGCCAGTAGCATCTATTTCAGTGGTAAGTTGTCAGTAAGAAAGGAAAGACCATTCTCTCTCTTGCTGAAAAGTGTCTCTCAGTGATATAAATTCCACGAGTGTTCAGTATATAATTTCTTGTTCTTACGATATTAGGCTTAAGTGGACGTCGACTCATAAAGAAATTGTGTTTTTCTCAATTATGTTTTGATCCAGGCAGCGTCATCTGCTCAAGCTTTCGCGTTCTATTCCAACCGCTAGTTTCCCATTCTAACGAAGTTTGAGCTTTCTACGATGCATAGTTCATCTATTCGGGCCGAAAAAACCATGTTCTCTTCTCACAGGAACTACCGCAAGCTGACATTGCGTTGGGAGTGTTGAGATCGACCTTGCATTCCTGTGCGGACGAGGACCAAGCGAAATTCGAGACGGTTGGCGTGCGATCCGGAACCCTTTTTGCACGTTCAACCTGTCTGAACTGAAATCGAAGAAGCGTCTCTAGCAGGCCTCGGTTTAAGTGAATGGGAACAGGCATTACTGTAAGTGTGTTTTGTCTACGGCGACTACGGCGTCTTGCCTTCCACGGAGGCATCTCCATTCCTCCAGAACGCGAGACAATATTCAATCCTGAACGAATATGCATTCTGTTGTGTCTGCGTCTCCTGCGAGTAAGACAATCCCCCGCTAGACGCCTTCAGTTCCGATAAGAACAACGATCGAGCATCAACGCGGAGCGGAAGCTGCTGACGTCAAGGCCAGCTTCGGAATGCGGTACTAACCCCGACCAATGGCACGACATCTCCAGAGTTTGTCCTCTTATTATATAGGGAGCTGTCCGCTGCCTATCGTGTGCGCTCCATTTGCCATTCGGCTACTATTTAGACCCGTGTAAATAAAATAGTTTTTCCGTCCTGTTACTTGGTGTCCCGCCTCCGCTTCGGAAAACGAGACCTCGGCGATGTACCAAACCCCACCTCGACCAAGATCCAAGCGCCCTCTGGACCATCGACCGATACCGTCTAATAATAATAATAATAAATATCTTTATTTTGACAACAGTTTACAGTTGGAAGGTGAAAAGGGAAAAAAGCTGTAACGCAGCTTGACTAGTCCCGAGCCACCTAAATAGCAGTTGAGACGCGGGCACCAAATTATTCACACATGATTAAGACACAAATTAAAACATAAAGAGATCCTTTACACGAGAGAAAATTTGATTAGTGTCATTATATAAGGCAAGTTTAATTTAAACAGAGTAGCAATAATAGACAAAACGCGACAAAAAAAAAACACCAAAAAACTTCAATTCCCAAAAATGAACACTTTTCTTCTATTCTTTCTAGTTTGCGATGAGTATATCAACACTTAACTTCTAATAGATTTGGTAGAGATGAGTATGAATAATTCATCAACTCTTTCCGCTGTCTGCGCGTGCGCATGGGTGAGAGAGTGCTCACATGGCAAACAGTAGACGTCCAACCGGTCCTACAAGAACGCAGCGTCCACAGCGCCGTCGGTTAAGCTCCGACCGGAGTATGCGGAGCGCAAGTTCGTCTGCGTCTTGCACAGGGGTTGCGGTGATGTTGATGACTGAAAAAAAAAATCTAGTGACCTCAAGCCTCAAGCCTCAAGCTTCAATGCTGAAACCTCAAGGCATCGAGCATTGAGGTCTACCCACTGTCCTTCCAATGAAAGCCAATCAGACCTCGGCGTCGTTCTGACGTCACCGCAGCCTCTGCGCAAGAAGCAGACGACTTGCACTCCGCATAGCGCTCGGTGACCAGCCTTGGGTAAGTTACTTTTAAAAAGTAATTCGTTACAGTTACTTTCAGTAAAAAAGTAGCGAAGTTACCGTTACAGTTACCGCAACAAAAAAGTAACTCGTTACCGTTACTGCTACTTTTAAAAGTAACGACGTTACTTTTCAGTTACTTTTCTATAATGCAAACATTTTATGAAACACTAGAAAACGCCCCTCACCAAGTTTATTACATAAAATTAAAAAGCATGCTTTTTAGTTTATATTGCAACTTAGCAGCAATTGCATTTTGGAAATAGTGGCTGAAAGTTTCCCTCGTTTGATAGCGAGCACGTCCCTGCCCTTGCTGAACAGGCCCCGCGCAACAAGAGCAACGAGCAAACCCCGCGCAAACAGCAGTGACTTTCGCCTCGACTGCTGCACCACGCAGGAGTAGTGGCGCAAATGGAAATATGAAAGATGCGCAGTGCGAAGTAGTGGCGCTAATCAAAATACGAAACATTCGCAGTGCCCTCCGTGTGTATTGTTGTTTCACGATTGATTCACCCGATTAAAGAGCGTTTGCACAGAAAAAAGAACAACCGCAACAAAGCTAGGGCTTTAAGACATACTAAGATGTAAGTGTTCTGCCACAAAGTACAAGCGCGTGCAAAACATAACTAGATATTTTTTATCCCATCTACACGTGGCTATTCTTGGGACGTTACTCGCGAGGAAGAACGTGTTCACAAGTTTGTTCAAGGCCAACTTGACACTCGCAATGTCAAAACAGGCAATTTGGAAAGTGCAAGAAATAGATTGTACTCGTTCAATAATATATTATTTATAAAAAAGTGGAAAGTAACGACAAAAGTAACGTCGTTACTTTCATCGTTACCTCAGAAAAAAGTAATCAACTACAGTTACAAGTTACATATTTAAAAAGTAACTCGTTACAGTTACAAGTTACTAAAAAATTAATAAAGTTACAGTAACGCGTTACTACCTAAGACAGTCGGTGACGTCATAATATACACGCATCCGCCGCTTTGCAGCGCGTTTGCCACTTGGGGCAAGTCGGAGATCAAATGACGATGACACGATGCGCAGGCCTTGACTTCTACGCGGCATGTGCTTAATCGAAGAGAATGGAGGGTGGTCTGTTGACACCTCGCAGTTGCGCACTCACCGAGGTCTCGGGAAACAGTGAGAAGTTCACCGCTTGAAAGTGCTTGGAGACGACCCAGGGTTTGGGCGGCAGAGGAGGCCGCGCCTTCACCATGCAGTACTGACCCCTGAAGAGAGGATGCGCGGAAGGGTCGTCTCCAACTGCGACGCTGAGGCACTCGTCGAAATTTCCGAAGTCCGTGAGCGATCCTTCGAGGAGCCCCGGTGCCAGCTTTCCAGAGGCGTCCACCACTGAAACGAGACAAGTTTTGTTTCTTAATGTAATTAGGTTCACTGATGAGAAAGCATTAACTGTTCAATGCAGCAAACCGGCGTTATCAGCTTTTGAAGCCGCGAAAAACGGTACCTAAAATGCCCTGTCCCATGGAGCGAAGCCTGCAGTCTGTAGCAGCGAAACAACGAATAAATTCCCATTGGCCGCGACGCGTCATATGAGATGCTTCGTCACGGAAGCAGCTGCGGACGCTCAATGTAGCCTCGATCTCCAAGATCCATTTTACATCTTAAAGCACCGCAATCACCCACTAAAAATGCAGCCTCTCTTTCTCAGAACTAGCAAATTTCAAAATTCCCCCCCTTTACATGCAATCCCCGACTGGAATTCCTTACCTGCTTACATCGCCCATAAAACTCATACCAATAAATTCCGCGACATTTGTAATTCCCATTTGTAAAATGATATTGTTTTTTTTTCTGTTTACCTTTTATTTGTGTGCATTGAATGTTGTATTTATTCTCCCCCTCATGTAATGTATCCCAATTGGGATACCTTTGAGGAAATAAACTCTGATCGGAAGATTTGAATGTCAAAGCGGACGCGCCTCAGAAATAAAACACAAAGAAAAGCACAGCAACGCAGATGCATTGTCTCGGAAGCCGTGGAGCCGGCGGGGGTGCCGCGCCTGCGCAGTGGGGGAGTGTCATGTCACCGCCGGAGCCCAGTGCAAAAAAGGAAGACGTGACGCGCTGCTTGTAGGAATGCATTTCGTGTAATAAATACTTTCGCATTCTTACACGTAAGCAGTCTTACGTGTCTTCTGGAATTTTCGACACCACTTTAAATAAAGCAATCAGCAGACACTGCAAACACAAAGTTTAATTTATGTAACTCGATCTGTTCATGTGTGCCGATGTAGTTGCAATGGCGACATATCGTATAGTGTATAAAATGTGACCAAGAAGCGTAATACAATAATGCAACATATAAATTAAAAAAGTGTGAACTAGAAAAAAAAATGTTTCTTTGATTTTACGGGTGGGGATACAGGCAGATTTGTACGGTACTTATTGCAATTAATCAACTTACTTGTAGTCGATTACTTCTTGGAGTAATTTGGTAATTGTTTGAATACATTTTTAAGAAATAATCGCGAGAGTAATTTGATCACTTTCGGAAGTACTAAAATTACTTGTAACCGTTACTACCTTTCACTCCCCTCTTTGGTGGCGCCTTTTGTTTCTTCAAGTTACCTGCTAAGGAATCCTCGAGCCAAGTCTCCAATAGAAGGAAGGTTGACCGAGATTGGCGGATTGAGAACACGAGTATAGTTTGTAATTCCATGATTCTAATCCACTAATGGACAGCACGAAAGACTAGCTTCCAAAAAAGCAGAAAAATCAGTTTTGAAAATATGAAGTAATTGGAAGAGTAACTTTTTTCAGTAATGGTCAATTGCTATTCTCCGTAAAGTCATCGAGTAATCTAAGGGCAACTTTTTAACTAAGAGGAATTGTAAACGATCACTTTTTCGAGTAACGCGTACAGTACTGGTAAAAGCAGAAGTGTTGTAAGTTGGGCGAGTTGGTATGATGACATGATGAACAGAACAGCGCACATTTTCCAAAATTGTAAAATATTAAAGTGGATACTTTGAGACGTAACCTTTTTCGATCGTTAGAATATTTATTATAGTAGAAGGTAATAGGGGAGTTCTTTTCGTGTGTCTACTTTTCAGCGATACACGCGAAGGCCTATTTGCGCAGTTAGAGCCACTAAGCAACCTACGTTGGCCTAATTATTTCGCCAGTTTGGCATTTTAAAGATAACTGACAGCACCTGGAAGAAAAGTGGGTTTCAGAATTTCCAGAATAAAACGACGCGGTCTATTAGAAAGGAGTTGAAAGAAGCTTCATTAAACCAACTTTGGAAATAATAACAAGCTACTTTATGCACAAAAAAAAGGACTTTGGGAAAGCCTTGCTGCTTAATGGAGCCAGCAGGATCTGGCTTTCTTGGTCGAAGAAGTGCACACGCTCGTTTGAGACATTTTCTCTCTAGATACTCACGAATCGGTGATTTAAGAAAGGTGTGGATTCCCTGGCAAACAGCGGTCCTCAGCTGGTTACAAAAAATCTCGAAGGGACCTTTTATAAGGGTTTGGAGAAGTTAATCTTAGTTCCCATAAATCTTTAGTAAAGTGTGTTGCTGCAGACTAGTTTGTACAATTGAAAACAAAATAACAGAGAAAAATAGGAGAAGAAAAAGCAAGTAAAAGCCAGCGCCTAACCTGTTTTACTTGCCTTTCTTTGTCCTATATGCGTTGTGTTTCTGTGAATAACTGTTTGTCTTTATGCCAATATGTGAAATTAATTTAAAATTTGGTAGATTTAATTGAACACACACGGCGTTAGTATATTTATTTATTCGTGTGCCGTTCTTAATGTAATTAGCACCGTGCGCTACAGAGTGCTATTTACATTCAGTCGAAACCTTGCAGATTCATCTAAAGCAAACGAGTCAGAATTCTTTGAAAACAGGTTCATAATGACAGCAATTAGCGGTAACATGATCATCGTACGTATACATGGTGCATGTGGACGGCGAACATTGTTAAACCTTCACTGGATTACCTTTGAACGACGCGGATCGCAGCTAGCAGTACAATTTGCTAATAGAATCCATCTTGCTTTTGGAAAAAGAGTGTAAGTCGTAGGCAGGAAGAAATAAACTAAGATAACTGACTTTTTCGTGTTTTCAGAAAAAAAAATGTTTATTGCGGACTTTTTTTTTTTCTTTTTTTTTTTGTAATACACTCAGATGAATATCAGACTGTTTCATGTGCTGTGTAGACAGCGTGTCACCCCAAAAAATTAGGTTTTTGTTTTCTTATCCAAAAATAAACTATGCAATGCCGAACGCTCATTCTCTGGCGAAATGTATAGCTAAAGGTCCGAATCATATGCCAAAGTTACAGCATTAACCGTCATCTTATTCAAAATTTATTTTCAATTTCTCACATCTTACGTGGAAAAATAAACCCCATGTTTGCCCGTTTTCGGTAACTGGTGCCATAGAGCTCCATGTATTCGAGAGGTCTGTCGGCTAACATTTTCCCATTGAAAATTAAAAAAAAAAATCGGTTACAACTTTTGAATAAGATAAAGGTTAGTGCTGAATCTTTCCCATCCGGTTCGGACCTCTAGCGCTACATTTGGGCGGAAAATTGACCATTCGAAGATGCGTAATTTATTTTTGCGGTGAAAAAAAGAAACCCTGTATTTTTATTTTTTGGGGAGGGGGAAGAAGGGGGGGGGGGGCACCCTGTACATTAACTTCTGCAACCAAGCAGGTGCGACCCTAGTAGCGTGCCAGAGGCAGCGGGCATGCGCGATGTGGTGTGGTGGACTAGACATGCTGCGTCCAGGGTTGGGCAGAAATACTCAAAAATGTATTTGGAAATCAAATGCTGAGATACAATAAAATAGTAGCTAAAATACTGATACTAAAATATATCTGTAAAAATGTATCGCGATACGTATCGGAAATACATTTTAAATAGAGGCAAAAAGTCTTTGGAAATACAAATACAGGAATACATTTTAGGGAGGGCAGAAATACAAATACAGAAATACTGATACTGGAATACATTTTTCAAATTTGTTTGAGACGCCAAATAAGATGAGGCTTGAAGATTGAAGTGGAAGTTTTTGATAACGAAATTAATTCCCCGTAGGCTTGGCCACCGTGGGCTTGGCACTTTGCCTTAAAGGTAGTGGTTTCGGACGACGAGGAGTCTTCAGTGGGCTCAAAAAAAACGTTCCATGAAGGACTGGCCGCGGTCCCTTTCCTGACATCCTGTCTGTCTGACGAGGGATGCGAAAAGACTTCGACCTCTAAATAAATTCCATGTCACCCGCAATACGTCACCACGCCCCTGTTATCCACGGCTACTCTACGGCCTCAGAAAATTAAACAAGCTTGATTTTACGGCAAAACTTCGAGTAAATAATGTGACGTATGGCGATCCATCCCCCGTGAATGACGCAGCTGAATGAACACTTAAACCTGATTTATGTGATGAGATCTTGCTTGGGATTTTCACTCTTGACGTAGGTCGAACTGCAAAAGAAGCGCAGACGGAATCTGGGATGTTTGACGTTAATTGCGAGCAGAATTGAATCATGTGAATTAGGCATAGCAATTCGGTGATCGCCAGTGGCTACATTGATCAACAAGGTGCCGGGTGTTTCAGCAAAAACTTTAAAGAACTCCTAGCATTACGATCGTAATGCTAGGAGTTCTTGGTTCAGAAAAAAAATATATGTATATATTTTCGGGTACAAACTGTCGGCCGGCGGAAGTTAGGGATTGCACAAAACATACTAATTAGCTAAATAATTACGCAAAACTTACTAATTAACATTTTAATTAGCGAATATAAACATATGGTCTCATTCACAAATTTGGCGAGGGTAGTTAACGAACACTAAATGAGTACATTTTAGGAAGTCTTATTAAACCCGAAGTGCAGGTGTGCGTGTGCTAAAGTTACCACTCGTGCTGATGGCACAAGGCTGGTGATTCGGAAACGCTGATGATATTCTCATCATCCACGACCTCTCATCCCTAGCCCCGGACATTGCAACATCACGCTAAACATTAGAACATCGTCTCAATAAATGAGATCGTGATGACCTGAGCTCCTTCTTCCGACAAGGGGTGAGTGAGACCAAAACCCAATAAAACAAAAGACAAAGAAAACAGCAATCCGATGTTCCAATAAAAAGTGCACCTCTGCATGCTGAATCGGGGATCGGTGGCCAAGTGGGTTAGCGCACCTCAGGACGGAGCACGGGAAGCAAAACGTCGCGCTGCAGAGACCGGGGATCCTGGATTCAATCCCCAACGCTGTCCGTTTCGATTTGGATGAGCATTGTACCGGCGCGCGATCGTGTATCACTACTGCGTGGGGCACTTTAAAGAGCCCAGGCTAGCAGTTGTACTGCACTGGCTGAATTTCTCAGCTACAGCTGAGACACCAGACGCCCATTTAAGATTGATTAACTTCTGGCTGTATAAACATGAATACAACACAATTAATATTGATACTGAACTAAGCCGTTATAAGTCACCAGTTCGCCTGCGTGTCTTTCAAGTAAAAATAAGGTTTTGAACATTAAGCGGTTATTTAACACTAACCATTACACATTGTCCACCTTGCTCCCAATAATGGGTGCTTATTTTTTTACAGTTGTAATGTTTAGTTTGGTTTAGAAAATGTTCTAAACTTTCGGCGGAGTATGCTTATAACGCAGAATCATACAAAAACAAAGATTTCGTTCCATTTTTTGTTCGCAACAAAGCTTAGCTTTAGAGTAAAATATATATTTCTTTTTATGAAATAGTGACTTATCTTGCACCCCAGACCGTAGGTCAAACTAGTGCGCAAACGGTCGAGCAAATTAATAAGCAAAAGCTATTTGTTTCATGTTTTTGTTTTGATTTTATCGCAGTCCAGGGATCACTCGTAACACCAAACACACACAAAAAGAAAGAGGAACTTAATCCTATTGAGTAAATAGTCCGAATATGGAGATGAAGTAACCGCACGATCGAATAAGAATAAAGTCTGGAAAGCCGCCGAAAGACTAAATTTGGTGGCACAGGGATTCGAACTCGGTGTTTCACAAGAAGGAAGATGAAAATGACCCGGAAATTCTACTGGTTGGAAAACAAAGTGCGCAGAGGAGGGACGCCTATATTTTTCTACTGATAATATTTTATTATTATTGTTATAAAATGAAGAATAAATATTAGAATGGTGAATGGGAATGAAAATTATCAAGTGCAGATTTCCTTATTATTGTCAAGTGAAGATCAAATTATCTAGATTAGTTCATTTTAGCGGCTATGTCATTCTGGTTCGGGACGTTCTTTGTAACGTTACAATCATAATTTAGAAGCCATCTATGTAACACACTGTGTTAATAAGAAAAAGAGCGCATAACTAGGGTCCTTTGCCTCGTGAACTTACTCCGAAGGACGTTCCTATCCAGACTTCTAAGTTTCCGCAGCACGGCGATGAAGGCGGAAGTGCACTGCGCAGAAAGATCGTTGTCCTCGCTCATCTTGAGAACGTGCGGAAGCAGCCTCCTGAAGCCCTGGTCGACGGCGCCCTTGAACACACGTTCCATGGCCAGCCACTGGTCGGTGACGGAGTCATTCGGCCCGTGACCGCACACGAACCCCGGCCCGACGAACATCAGCGCGATTGCAAACCACGCCTTCCGGAACGCCACGCGTGTCGAGTTTCTTACCGGCGTGATAGCAGACATGGCTGTCTCTAGCAAATATGGCGAAGAGGAGACTCGCGCAGAGACCAGGGCCGGTATTCTCATCTTGCGGCCGCGGATGCGGCTGCGGCCAAGAGGGATTTTTATGTCACGTGACCAGCTCCATGGGGACAAGGAAGTACCTAGCATCCCTGCCTAATGGCGGAGAAATCCGTATCGCTTCAAGCACAAAAGCCTAATGTCGCTCGCAGAAACTGACTGCATGGACTGTCAACCGGAGTCTAATTGACCGCCTCTTTATACTGTAGGAGCGGAAGGTAAAGTTACGGCCAGGGACGGTAAATATGAGCCAAAATAAAAGAAAAACCACTCGAGGTAAAAGCGGTGGCAGTATATTTATATACCTCCGTCAGCGCCGGTTGCTCGCGCCTTCTGCTGTGGTTGACAGGTTAAAGCGCCGGTACGTGTCGTCGTGACGTGAAAGTTTCTGCGTGCGAAATTAGGCTTTTGTGGTTGAAGCCATACGGATTTCTCCGCCATTAGGCAGGGACGCTAGGTACTTCCTTGCCCCCGCTGGTCACGTGACATAAAAATCTCTCTTGGCCGCAGCCGCGTCCGCGGCCGTGAGATGAGCAAACCGGAAGACATGGGAGGAAAGTGCGGGGCCACTGGTGCTCCGTGACCCGCAGCCGAGCACCGAGGACATCCCTCAAAACTGCTTCGGTATAGCAACTCGAGCTCCCGTGACTCGTGCGAGGAACGGCAACAAAAAACGTATATGAACGGGAAAAAAAGGCGACTCAAGACACGAACGGCGCGAGGAAAGAGAAAACTGTCCTTCATGACTTGTAGATGCGGTGAACCGATAAACGGGGAGGTACATATCCACGCAGTGCGGGCAAAATGGTGACCTAGAATGTCGGATTATTTTGGCTGAATTTTAATATTGCCTCGTGCATCTTTCTTTGATCTAGGGTTAGGTTAGAGGAACGTTTTGAGGCCAGAAGTGACGAAATACGCGAAACTTTTTACGACATTTATAAGAAGTTGAGAACTTTGTTTCAATAGTATAAAAATCTGTGTTCAGTTGACGCAGGCATTGTACACCGCACGTATTCAAACTTAATTCATTCTTAGTTTGCTGTATAGTTTCGTTCGAAATGAAAGCAACTTCTCAGATGTTGTCTTCATGTTAGCTCTGAAAATGTAGTGTTCACAAGGAGCGAGTTAAAAATCTCCAACCTGGATCTCTAAAAGATATCCTGCTCCAAACAATTTATAGCGCGAATGACTGCCGCTGCTGTGTTTCAATTAGTGTTTGCTTCTTTATACGCGTATGTTTTACACGTAGTGTTTCACCCTGCGCGCGTGTTTACCCACTTTGCAGTGGCGTAGCCAGTGTATGAACTTACGAGGCATCAGCCCTTCCCCAAGTCATGGTCAGTAATGCACGTAACGCGTTACTAGTAACGATTTGCTTCTATTTAGTTACTTTTGCAGGTAACGAGTAACATATTTAGTGTATTGTTCAGAAAAGGAAGGAATAACGTTACTTTTGAGGCCAAGTAACCGGTAACGGTATTTCGTTACTTTTCAGGAACGTTTAAACAGTCTCGTTTTCACTCTAACCTGAGTATGCGTCTATTGCGACAGAGGCAGATGGGCAAGCCGAAAAACAATTAAATAGGATGCCGGTATGGCAGCGTATATCGCTAAACACGACAGTATAAAGGCCCGTTCACACATGCAGCGGAGCGCTAAGTTGGCGCCTATGAGCGCTAGAAGCAGCGCTTATGTGGCCTCGACTTGCGCGTTAGGTAGCGCTCAGTTAGCGCTTTAGTAGCGCTCAGCAGCGCTTGGTTAGCGCTTTAGGAGGAGGAGGAGGAGGAATTCCGTAAAGTAGTACAGAGGACGGAGTTTGCCTCGCGGGAAAAACGCCCACGATGTCACGTCCGAAAAACAGAAGGAAACGTAAAGAAGAGCAGAGAAAGGAAACGAGAGATGGGGAAGGAGGATGGATGGAAAGAGGAGGAAAGAGGAGGAAAGCCGGCGGTCAGTGTTAATAATCACGACGCTACACATACACACCCACACATGGTGTTCTGGAATTGGCTTCTTTTAAAATTGTGCTGAAAGTCCAGAGTCCTTTAAAAAAACGCAAAAATAAAAAAAAAAAATCCTGCATTTGTCTGCGGCGGGCTCGAGAGCCCCGTGGAAAAATAGTGTCATCAACTTTCTTGAGTGGAGGACGAAGGTCGTGAAGCTGCTGGAAGAATCTCTGCCTTGGAACGTTGTATTTAGGACATTCCCAGAGCATGTGGTTGGCGTCTTCTCAGACCTTGCAAGCGTCACATAGAGGCGACGTCCTTTTGCCCCATCGATACAATACTTTACCGGTTTTCACACTTCCAGTGCGGAGGCGAAGTAGAACTGTAGCTTCTGCTAGGCTGAGACCACTTAGGAGGCAAGGTTGATGCCCTGATTCTTCCGCTGGACCCAATGATGAAATATGTGGGCGAACTCGCTTATGGAGCCAGCGGTCGTCTGTCGGACACTTGAGTGCCGGAGCGAAATCGTGGGCTCGAGAAGCGAGACGATCTGCTGTTTCATTTCCGCTTACTCCCACGTGGGAAGGCACCCATTGGAAATGAACGGTGAAATCAGCGTCTTCTGGTGCATAAAGAGCTGTTCTTGTTGTTTCCACGAGTCCCTCTATTTGGGTTTGCTTGCGTAGAAAGAAAAGGGCTCCACGGGAGTCAGTTAGAATGACGGTAGGCTGAGGCGGATACGTCTGTAGAGCCTTTAACCGCTCATTCACACTGGAAGCGGATCCGCGTTCGCAAAGCGGTTGCGAACGCGGTTGTATAAAAATCCAGTACAATTGCACGCGCACTTGATGTCATCGAGTGCGCGTGCAATGTTACTGGATCTTTATACAACCGCGTTCGCAACCGCTTTGCGAACGCGAATCCGCTTCCAGTGTGAATGAGCGGTTGGGCCTCAAGTATGGCACAAAGTTGGGCTGTCGTAGTGGAGGTCATTTTTTCTAGCCGACCAGCCCACTCTAATCCAGGTTTGGGATGCAGAAGGCGGAGGTGCTGCTTCTTTTGAAACGGTCAACCGATCCACCGGTATATACTCGAAGAAAACCTTTGAATTCGGTCGCAACGTGTTTGAGACTCGGGGGATTTGAATTATTTTTCTTCTTTACGCCTGGAACGTGCTCATGGGATAAGACTGTGCAACAGCCCAAGGAAGTGTAGATTTTCTGGTGATGATTGATAGTTTTGGTTTCCACCCGAGGTAACGCAGGGTGCGAAGAGAAGTGCCAAATCGTGAAAGGTGTCGTCGGGTGATTCTTCGAAGTAAAGAAAGGTCCGCAGTAGTTTCTTCAAGGCTGAGAATCTGCAGTAGGAGGTGCTGGGAAGCCATTAGAGGCAGTGGCAGTGCTCGGGCTTCTTCGTAAACTCTGAGGTTGCTGGTTCCTCTCGGAACGCCAAGGGCTATGCAAAGTCCTTGTCGATGAATGCGTTCCAGTTTAAGAGCTGGCGTGGGTAGGATGTTGATATAAGGCAAGGCATATTTAAGGCGGCTGACTACTAATGCTGAGTGAAGCGGGAGCATTGAACGAGGGGAATTGCCCCAGTTTGCGCCACCAACTCGGCGGACGGCATTTCTAGTCGAGATTGTTGAGCTTGTCATCGCTTAGATTGTGAAAACCAGCTGAACTTACAGAAAAGGGTGAGGAGAGAAAGGAGGAAAAAGTGAAAACCAGCTGTAAGTTCAGCTGGTTTTCACAATCTAAGTATGTACAACCAACTAGCTCAGCTCCTTCCCATTGCTTGTCATCGCCTTTAGTTGGGGTGTCCATTTCAGCCTTTGATTCAAGCTGATTCCTAGAAATCGATGGTTTGCAACTTGACGTAGGGGGAACCGCCAAGGCACAGGTCCAATTTGGTGAAACGTTAATTTTTTTCCCGGAAAAATCATAAAAACAGTCGTTTCTGCGGAAATGCGCAGGCCACAGTTTTTAAGGTATGTCTAAGCAGATGTTATTGCCGACTGGACAATTGCTTTCAGGTTGCAGTGTTTGTGACCTGTCGTCCAAATGCACATCTTATCCGCATACACAGACATGTTGACCCTTGGTGTGGTAAAAGGAACCGCGCTTGGGAGACCGGAGAAGACAACATTAAACATAATAGGTGAAAGCACGCAACCCTGTAGTAAACCGCATGGGGAAGAACGGTTGGCACTAAGCGTTTTATCGAGTTTCACTCGGAAAGTTCGCTCTGTTAGAAAGTATTCAAGAAAGCGTTGCACAACCCCAGTAATGCCTAAGGATGTGAGTTTTCTTAGCACAACTGATGGTGTCACACTGTCGAAAGCCTTTTAGATATTGGAGGAATTAAATTGCCAACGTTGATCTTTTTTTCATTTCAATTTTGTTCAACTGCGCTGAGCAGTTCTAAGATATTGTCTGCCGTTGAAAGCCGAGTTCTAAAGCCTGTCATTACATCGGGCAATAGTAGTTTAGCTTCAAGTCACAAATAATGTCGAGCGTGTATCATGCGTTCCATTAGCTTTGCCACACATGAAGTGAGTGAAACTGGTAGTTCGGTTCTCGACTTTCCGTGTTTGAGGATGGGCACAACCCAGGCTCCACGCCACTCACCGGGTACGTTTCCCGTCGACCAGATAACGTTAAACTCGGACAGAAGCAGTTGCAGACCTTCATCTGGTAAATTGCAGAGCATTTGGTGGGTAATGCCGTCTGGTCTGGAGGCAGTGCGCTTTTTGGTGGAACGGAGCGACGCCTGGAGTTCTTCAAGGGTGAATGGTACATCAAGAGGGGACGAAGATAAGACTATGACGCACGTTCTTACGATTGACTCCGGACCGAGGCGTAATAGTTCGCGGATTCGTCCGCTATAACCTGGAGGTCTTTTCCTCGTTGAAGTGCGAGAGAGTCTTGGGGCGACAGTTTGTTTCTTGCTCCCATAAAGCTATCGAGAATATGCCAAATGCGGCAAGCTGGTGTGTGGGCATCTGATTTAGCACACACATTGTGCCATTCTTGTCTGCGTAGCTTCTTCACATAGCGTGTAGTCGCGGCGTTTAA